AACTACATAACGGTTTTAAGAGTGACACAGCTTTTATTTTGATGTGGCATGACCATACAAACTGCTTTATTCCTGGTAGTAGTAATATGAGTTGAGAACTTGATACGGATAAGGAAAGATATTATGAAATTATAACATATGTTCAACTGTGAAATCTGTGTTTTGTCAGATAAAAAGAAAAGTGGGGACATTGACTTCTGGGCATGATCTTAACCCAGAAGATCAATACATTTAGTTATTATTAAGTTATTTTATTTTTATAGTCTTCTGAAAATAAAAAGTGTGTTACTGTCCAAGACTCAATACAAGTCATTTTAGTCAAAACCAATGTAATGCCTTTTTATAAACCTAGAACAACAGGAAAGCATAGAATTCTGTTTCTCATCCAGTGAACATAATCCTTTTTGTTTTTTACAAAGCCAACAACTACCGGAGTGACTAAAAAATCTAAGAGTGGAAAGCAAGGCAGCGATGACATCACCTTGCCTCTCATGGACAAAAACCAAGGTCGGCAAATCATTGTATGCATTCTGTCGGCAAAATGTTATTAAACCATCATCTAAATGAGAAAAGTGCCCTCTAGTTCAGAGAACAAAAATGCTTTTAAACATACTGTGGTTCTTGTCATGTCAGGGACAACGAAATGGGCATTTGCAGTCCCAGACCATAGTCTTCTGAAACATAGCCTTAAACCAATGATGTGCTGCCAAGGTTATCAGTGCACAGACAGGCTTATTAGCCTGAACAGTCTCTCCCAGAGGCAGAGCAGGCTCACGCATCACCAGTCACATTTCATTTGAATTCCAAAAGGGCACCCAGTTTCCCATGTCAAGAGCAACCTCTAGCTTCCCACCCTTTGAAATATGAATTTGGGGGGAATAGGTGTGAACTAATTTCAATGAATTATTTCATTGCATTTGCCTGTTTCTCTCTTTGGTGTTTCGGTCTAAATGAATAGATGTACCCTTTTAAGTGAAATTTGTTTTACTTAAAAGGGCAATAGGTGCACACCCTATGTATGTATCAGGTTAGGTTGGAGTGGAGGATACACTCTCAACTCCAGTGGTTCTATATCAAACCATTTAAAGTTCTACATGGCACCCCTAGTTCAACATAGAACTACCAAATTATTAATTAAATGCAAATAAATTAAAAACATAAAGACATGCTCAACCATTTTTATAATTGATTCATTGTTAAAGTCATTTTTCAAGCAAAAATGCCAAACATTAATTTGTTCTTTGCTGCTTTTTTCATAGCTTCTTTAAAGAAGTCTGTTGTGAAACATTACTTTTGGTTTCTGGATTGATGGACTGCTGTACACAGCAGAAAAAGAAAGAGCATATTTGTAATTTTATTGTTTTACAGTGATTTGAAATGGTTTCATTTACACAGTGCAACTTCATCTTGCAAGAGTGGCAGTAGTAGAGTAGCCTAGTAGTAGTAGTCTAAGAAACAAGGACACAAAGACATGGACACAAAGAAAAGGCTTATATTGAGCCATATTTATTGAATAGTTAGAGGAGTTTTGTCAACCCCGACTAATGTTATGTGTCCAGGTCTTTCATTTATATGCTATAACTTAAAATTATTATATGTTTAAATGCAGCGTTAGATAAATTAGGTAAAGTTATGTGGAAAGAGATTAGTAAAATGAGGAATAACCCACATAGCATCCAGCTTTGCTATCTTATTGGCATGGTTAACTAGCATTAATGTTAGCCAAGCTTGAAACAAATTATAAAAACTGAAATAAGCTGTATCTACCATATATGTATGCTGCTTGGTGACCCACCTAGTTTATTTAAATTATATTTACATACATTATTACAGGGAACTTAAAATGGTCAGTTGATGGTTAATGTGAGGTAGTTACAAGGTTAGCTAATTGGCTAGCAAACATCTTGCCTTAAATCTAGCGAACTGGCATGTTCAAATAATGAACCTTTTTTGTGGCAAAATGTTCTTTGATTTGGGGTTCCTTATTGAACCATTTTATGAGAGAATCTTTAAGAGGCGATTGTTTAATTCTAAAATTATTGAACTCACAATTTCCAAAAGCAGGCTACAACAGGTGTGTGGTTGACATCTCCTCACAAATTTAGTCACATCTGTTCTTTTTCTCTCTTCAAGTATTTCCAAGACTTCCCATTTGCTACATCTTAGCCATACTGTGTACTGCTCATATGATTATAATTTCCCCTTGCAGATGTTTATTCCACTTTAGAGCCAAATGATAGAATTGGAGATGGAAAAGCGCCTGTTGTGGAAAGAGACGCTCTCCAGGTAATCTGCCATTTAAATGTACTGAATGCATCCAAAAAATATTTGACAGAACATAAAATATGTTTTTCATGTGGCCTCATTTACTTTAAACCGAATTCCTCTCCCTGGTATATATGGTAATAATTTTGTTTTACAGGATTACTCTCTTGTGACTAGTGTTTATAACTGGCAGTGTTTTTCATGCAAAATTGACTAACACCAGCTGTTTGCATATTTCTTGACCTAGGCGATAAGTGAGAGAAAACACTTCATCAGAGCTGGCAGGCCTGCAGTGGGCCTCATGGATAACAAACCTCCACCACTGGACTCCTGGGTGTAAACATGACATCACGGCCAGTAAAGCCAGTTAAATCCTGTAGAGACACTTTACATTGGTGAAATACAGATTTGTGCCATTTGATCATTCTTGTAAAGAAAACCTAAAAAATAATTTCCCCTTCCTAATAATTTCCTTGGTTTACAGGAAATAATGTGCCAAACATTTACATGTATTTATTATGGAGGTTATTTGGAAATAGATTTGGTGGATTTTGTAATTTAGGAGGATATAGGTTGACTGTTCATCTGAAACTCATGATGGACTGACTATGTATGACATCTGAAATAGCCTAAATATGCAAACTGTGGTGAATCATGACTCCAAAGAATATATAACATGTACAATTTGAAATATTTAAATAATAATGAGGTAATTTATTATACTTCTAGTTTGTCAAGCTATTAAAGTGACATGTAGATCTGTTGTTGTCCATCCCCGTGGGTTCTGGGCTTCAGAAGATTCTGATATAAAATAATTTAAAAAAATATTTTTGATCAGTGTTTGAGATTATTAGGATTAGGGCTATTGTTGGCCTCATCAAAATCATCCAAATTGTTTGGAAATCAGTTTATTCTTGACAAACTTAACATCAGACTAAACTGTGCAATCATTAGCAAACTCTCTGTATTCCATTTGTTTCATGACATGGAAAAGGGATTGTAAATGTGTAACAAAGGACTGTTAATATTCTAAATTAAGGTATTTATATTGTAATATTTATTGTAATACCCATGTTATTAATTAAAAGTGATTGATGTGTATTAGCCAATACAGGTAAGTGATCCTACATTCAATACAACTCTGCTTGGCAGTGGTCCTTTTTGCATTGCGATGTTGAATGAAAAATGAAAATAAATTATGTGCATAATTTCTCATTTTACTTGTATTCTCTTTTTGTATTCCAGACTGAATGTAATTCAGTCTCTAATTTCTTAGTGGGTACTTACATTAAACAGCACCCACCCTGGTTAAATAACCCCACTTTTATGTGCTCCGAACAAGCTTAAATTAATAGATTGAAAAATCAAGTTCAGCAATTATCATTATAGACAGTGCCTTTTACTTTGTCATGGTCAAACTGAAAATGTTAAGCATCTGTGTTGTTGTCTGATATGTTTGCAGCCAGGGCTAATTTCTACTAATCACACTACACAGGGTACACAGGATACAACATGATAAACATCCCCTGTTCAAGGATTTATTGGCTTAATCACAAACACTACAAACTACAAAGATGGGTTATTTTAGGCACAATGCCAGTTAGCAGCATTTATCAGCTACAAAATAAGTCTGGCAATTAGTACAATAATATAGAAGTTTTCAATCCACTAGCCTCCAAACAGAGCTCCAAAGAGGTGAATCTGTGCCAAACTTTGGGAGCCAAAAACACTGACGATTTTTGTTATTCAAGGGGAAGAGTCTGGGAAACACACCAGCAAGTTGAAACTAACAAACAGGTAAATATGTTGGATATCCTTTACACAATGATAAAGGTATAACAAATATGTAGTTATTTGGCATGCCACTCACTATAAAATGACCCAACTCTACAGCTGTAATTGCAATAGTGTTATAATTACTTTAGAGGTAAATTATGATTTTTCAGAAATTGTTCAGATTACTTTGTCTACCCCCATTATATGTTCAGTTTGTTGAAAAAATCTAATATAAAATCTAAGGACATAAAACTGATATGTAAAATCATGTAAGTCAAGTCATTTACACATGCTTAATCAATGCATGTTACACATTATAACATAATGCATCTAGTAATGAAAGAGTGACTCAGCAATGGAGTATCATGAATTAACTTCCATAGAGTATGCAATTTAACAGCATCTAATAGAGTTGTTTCTGTGAACATCTTGCTTTTAAATTCACATTTTCTCCCCAAACGTCATTGTCTGTTCACTGAGACAAACTACCAACTGTCACATAATATCTTATCCTCAGTAGCCATGCAGTTATGAACTTAATATGAGCTTGAATGTTGTACAATGCCACTGAGAGGGCTAAAATGTGTTGGCATTAGTCATGTTCCTCCGCAGGGCTCACTTACATAAGTGGCTGCATTTTAGATCCATGCGAACTGTGTGTATATGTATGTTTCATATACATTAATGAAATGTTACACAGCGTAAATGTCTTATGTCATCGTGAGGTTTGTTTTAAGTCACAACAATCTAAAATGATGTATTTTTTAAATTAGTTTTCATTACTTTTAATTTCTTGTAATTTGTTTAAGTGGATGTATGTTAAAGTGATGGCAATGACTGCATATGTGTGCTGTCAGACAGCTGCCATTAGAAAACAAAACCAATAATTAGCTAAAAGCATATGCAAATTAGATATATTCAGCCTCTTCACCACTTAGTGAAATGTTTAATTAAATTTAAGATGAGGAAGCAGAAGTACAGATATTGAGTCTACACTGGCCTTGTGGAGCTTGCATAAAGAAAACACAAATTAACAATGTAGTTAATTGGGAATTGATTTCCTGCATTAGGCAGGAAAATAGTACAAACAACATATTTCCATATTTAATTTGTCTCACATTTTTGGTGAACTTAATAGCATTAACTTTCTTATCTCTAATTCCCTCAGTATTCTTTGAATATAAACTAACTTGGTTAAATGTTCTGATCACAGCATGGCGCAGCATATAGCAGTCTATAAATCAACTGTCATGTTAATTTAAACTCACTGTAAGGCAAGTGTCAGTGGAGAGAGACAGAAAAGAAAAGCATACATCAAAATGAGACAATTTCGGTGGAAATTATGGATAGTCATGTTCCTGGTGGCGAGAGAGAGAGGAGGGCCATAACAGGACCTTGGTGACATCTCCAAACATGTCACCACAGCACATTAGACAGCACAGCCCTGCCCTCAGGACCAAACCACAAGATCAACAAGGGCAAAGCTGTTTTCTCTTTGCCCCAACAGCAACCTGTTGTCCTTTAACGAAGGAGAGTCCTTCCTCGAAAGGTTGAACTGTTTGCAGGTATCGTCTCCAAAGGATCCATCACATCTTCTCATCTGATACAGTCTTTGGATTTAAACCTTTCATCCACTCAACCATGACCGTTTCAGTCCACTCCAACCTCGGGTTTATCCGCTCGCTGAATGTCCTTCTGATATTGACTGGTTTGAGCTTGAGCAGTCCCATCAGGTCTCTTGAGAACCACCACAGGGAATCAGTTGGTAGGGATGTAGGTGATAATCCACTACTTGATGCACAGGACTTTCTGAGCCAGTTTTTGTCCACAATTAACCTCACAGAGCTGAAGCCCCAGCCCAGGCCCCTCGCTGCTCGTAAGGAGCCACCAGATTACATGCTGGAGCTGTACAACCGATTTGCCCATGACCGCACTGCTGTGCCCTCGGCCAACATCGTGCGCAGTTTCAAGAACGAAGGTACAAACTTGTTATTGTTTAGCACCACAAAATGTATATATTGCATAAAAAAACTAAACATTGTTTTGAAAAGATAACAAGTAATCCCCCCAACAATTAGCATTCAAATTACTGGGATCATGTTTGACATTCTAATAATTTAATGATGATTTGGACTACTTTCGACTACTTGATTTATGGAAGTGCTGTAAATCTGGAACTAACCACTGACAATTTATGAGTATTTTGATTCAACCAAACCAAAAACATCTAATATAGTAAATTTGTATTTCATACATGGGTACATTTTAATATATAACACAGTTTAACTTTTGACACCTTTATTGATTTTTTGATTTCAGATTCCTCCCCTTACAGTACAACGGCCAGGGGCGTAAGGATACATCCCTTGCTCTTCAACATCTCAATGCGCCACCATGAGCACATAACAATAGCTGAGCTTCACCTTTTCACCCTGATCCGTAAGGCCCAAACACCACATGCTGGCACCGACTGCAAGGTGACCATCTACAAAATACATGAGGGTGTTGTTTGGACAAAAGAGGTGGAGAAAGAAATGACAAGGAGGGATAAAGAGGAGGTGGTGGAGATGGAGCATTTGGAGGAACTGGTGACAAAGCATATCCATGCCAAAGATAACAGCTGGGTGTCGTTTGACCTGACTCATGTGGTTACACTCTGGCAGAAGTCAGGGTGTGCAACTCACAGGCTGGAGGTTCATATTGCAGGTCTGGGGTCAGAGGAGGAAGGGGCCACACAAGAGGTCACAGAGGAAGGAGGGAGATTGGTGGAGATTGATGTCAACAGGAGCTTGAAGGGGAAACACAATGCAGTGATGATTGTATTCTCAGATGATCCGAGCAGAGACCACAAACAGGATAAACAAGAGCTCAACCAGATGATTGAACATGAGAATGACCTTCATGAAAACATGGGCCGGAGCCAACAAGCTTTCTGGGGACACGTTAATCACAACACTGGCCGTGCTAACCAGGATGAGTTGGACAAACAGTCTCTCGTGCAACTGCAGTCCAACCTTATCTATGACACCCCCCCCCGAATCCGTCGCAATGTTAAGAGCGAGCCGTGCAAGAGGACCCCACTTTTTGTGGATTTTAAAGACATTGGCTGGGATACGTGGATCATCCAGCCTCTGGGCTATGAGGCATATGAGTGCAACGGTGTGTGCAACCCACCTATGACCTCCGAGGTCTCGCCTACCAAACATGCCATAGTACAGACACTGCTGAGCGTTAAGAGTCCAGAGAGGGCATCGCGTGCCTGCTGTGTACCAACTAAGCTGGAGCCGATCTCACTCCTTTATCATGATAACGGGGTGATCACTTTCAACCACAAGTATGAGGGAATGGTGGTGGCAGAGTGTGGCTGTAGATAGTCCTGGAAGTGATGCTATTACACAGAGATTCTGAGACTGTGCGCTAATGGAGATAAAGAAATGATAATCATCTCATAAAACATCCATCTATCCATCTACCTATCTATCTATCTATCTATCTATCTATCTATCTATCTATCTATCTATCATCTCTTCTCATGTGCTTGTTTCCACAGTATCTAAGATCTCACATAGTGGTGTGTAAAAACACGAGTCTAGACTTAATTGTAAATTAGGGATAGACACAAATCAGTGCTACATGATGTAAATTTGTAATTGTATAAACGTCGGTCAGTTGTTATTTAATTAGTATAGAATATTTAAAGCTTTCAAAGTACCGCTGCATGTTTGTATTTTAGAATGTTTTTGGTTAAGTTCCAAATTTCATTGTAAATGATAGTAACGGGCCGTATTTTTTCACATATAGCATCAGTCCCATCCGACATTAGCAGGCAAAAGAAGAAGAGAAAAGAAAGTTCTGATAGCAAATGTCTGAACATCCTGGTAGAGATTTCTCTTTAACTTGTTTTAGATGAAGTGAGCACCATGTCATTAGGGGCTAGTAAAAAGGTTAAATACAACAGCACTGATATCAGTTACAATAACAACCTAATGAATAAATGAAAATGTATTTGAGATCTATTTATGTACAAAAGATGTACCCTAGTTGCAAATTTTCAAGGTACAGAATCTGACCAAAGTGAAGTTTAGGCTTGGGTTATTGTACAGAGTGTACAGAGTGTACTAAATAACCTTTCACACACCCTATTGCAAAATGTAAATGTATTGTTGCTAACTTTCCTCACAGACCTTCTTCAAAACTGTATTTTTTCATCTACATTTTGTTAAATAATTCCTAATGCAGAAGTTCAGAAGCCCCAGCATATCCAAATGGAACTGTATAAATCTACAATTTAGGATAGGCCATCAGATTACAATAATTTGCACTACTGATAGTATGGCGTATGATTTTTAAATATGAGAATGTGCTTAAATTAAACTGTAATAGAATCATCTTGCCAAAATGCTTTATAAGTAGACATAAATGCTGCAGATTTGTAAATGGTATCATTTGTTTCTGTGCCCTAAGGCATGTTGGAACCACTGAACTGATTTAAAATTCTGTTCTTATTTGCTTGCCAAACTTGCAGAAAATATATTTTCGGTGGCTTTTGACCAGGAGAGGATTTTCACGGTGTCTTGGAGCTCTTCAGGGCTTCTTGTCTGAAAAATGTCCAATTTCTCATACCTAACATTGCTGTCAGCTGCTGTGAAATCATTCTTTACACCCCAGCCATTCATATGATAATTTTGGTTCTCAAGCCAACATTAATGTTATTATGGCTGTTAAAAAATAAAATATCTGAAAACAAATATATTCACTGAGCAATTTCTGATCTCTTGTACACCCTGTTTCATGGTCAGGTAATCACAGCATTCCCAACCTAACAACCTTAATCCCCATCCCTCTAGCATCACATGCCTGGCGGGCCTCTCTTTACCCGCTTCCATGCCATAGTGATAACGAGGTGTCAGAGCCTGGAGTCTTGTAGGCCGTCACTCAGGATGAGACGCCACTCCAAGTGGCAGCATTTGTGAGAAGGTGGTGTCAGATTCCTGGTCTCCAACACCAACATGTTCTATTGACAACCCTGCCACCAGGTTGCTTGGTGCCCTCTGAACCCACCCACTTCCTTTTTCTGACATGGGCATGCTGACGCCCTTATCCAGGCCAAAGCAACAGTACAAATGGAAAAAATACATGTCACATCATCACCTAGCTTCTGCTGTTAACAGTCGGAAGCAGATAACATTAGTGGAATAACACTGTGGAACTTTCTAACTTAATAGGATCCACACTCAGCACACGTAGGCCAAGTGTGCAGGGCAGAGATATCGACAGTGGCAGTAAACAAATTGATTTCCCAGTGTGGAGCTTATTTAAAACTAGAACAAAACTTTAATGTGTAGAAAATATTCCTAAACACAACAATGCGCAATGACTTCTTTGTTCACAATAGCTTGTTGCAGTTTTAGTTTGGGGACTGCACAACATTGTTAATATTTTTTTAATGTTTTTATGGCAAAGCTGCTAGAAAGGCAGAATGTAGGAGCAACTTTAGGCTGGAGAAACATGATGCACTCTCTGGGAGGGTGGTGGTGGGGTGTTTAATTACAAGTAATTAAAGTAAAAACGAACCTCTATTGCCTCAATTTTGTTTTTGTTAAAATTGACACATTGTTCCTGCAATTACATTTTTGTGTGGGAAAACAGCTTGGATACAGAGACAGAAATGCTGTCCTGCACATGGCCAGCTTTCTGATGTCAAAGTTTTTTATTCAATTTTTTTTCTATGTGAAACAGTTTAAAGACACTTCCCTGCTGTCCAAAACCATTTTGAACACCCTCTGTTTAGCATAAGAAGGACAAACTGAAGGATTTTAAGTAAATTTGGTCCCCCTTATTGCTTTTTTGGAAATAGCCCATATCAATTCAAATGATAACTTTCACGCTTCATCAGACAGCTCTTAGAGGATTGGTCTAAAGTAGCTACTAGGTAGGTTTGTCTCCCCTGATTTCATAAAATGTATGTCCTGATTTGATTTTCTGTTTATTTTGTCAGCTTGAACACTATTCACTGTTTATGTGTTCTTGTTGGTTCATTACATCATTGGCTCTGTTGCTATTAAAGAGGTGGTATTATGCTTTTTTGCTTTCCCCCTCTCCTTTATTGAGTTATATATATCTTTTTTGTGCATGTAATAGGTTTGCAAAGTGAAAAAGCCCAAAGTCCACCCCAAAGGGAGTTCCCATCTCCCACAGAAAACTCTGCTCGGAACTGCCTGAAAACAGCTCGTTTGTAGTCCAGCCGCTTCCGTTTCATTCCTGTGACGACACAGGGATGAAAGCTCATTGCGCCTCATATAACGCTCGCCAAGCGGCTACTCTGACACGCCCTCAAAAACAGCTGCTGCACACACCTCTCTTCTCCCTTCCAAACACTAGCTACCCTCCAGGTAGTCAATGTACATAATGTTGTTACTGTGATGTAGAGACAGAGCTAAGTTATAACTTAATGGATGAAAAATACTTTTGTTACAGATAACTCACCACTCTGAAACTCTTGCTCCAGTCCATGTTGCCAAGCTGGTCGGCAACATGTAGCCTATAGCTGAACCGAAGCTGTTTACCGGCTTCTCACTGACCCCCCCCTTCTCTGCTTCTGCCCCCTTCTCCACAGCTAAAACGAAGCCTTCAACACAAAAGAGGAGCTGCAGCAACGTGCAGTGTTTTTTTTTAAATAAAACATGTAAACCCCAAATAGGATTTTGAACCTGAAAATGAGCATAATATGACCTCTTTAATGACATTTACTATTTGGGTTATTATGTCTTTAAAGGCAGAGGTTAAGTTTACCATAATGACAAATATTTTCGCTGCTTAAGAAAAGTTACATAAAATAACATTTATTTCAAAAGCTGCTTTTTCATAATGTATCGTGTCCTTAAGGTCTACATGGTCTGGCAAAGGTATCTACGACAATATCAACAACACATTTGAGCAGATTGATGTGATGGCAGCTTTGTTCATCACTCTTTAGCAACAAAGATAGTGTTGTTGAGGCCAACTTAAAATCATACAACACATGGTCAATCTCAGAGGGAGATTTGGACAGGGGGCTGTTTTCTTTAATTTCACACAATATTATAACCACAAGTGGGAGACTTGATATTACAGTAAAATATATCATCACATGATGATATTAAGGTGAATGTAATTTGCACTAAAAAAATCTAGAAGACATTACTGGCATGTACCCAGAAAATTTAAAATTGTATTATAACCAACTTATTTATATGGTGACGACCCTTTGGTGACAAGTTAAGACTAATTTGGACATGACAATAAAGATGATTAAATATTCTAAAATGGTACTTTCTAAGTCATTTATAATTACACACAATGCTCATAATCAGTAGGTTAGTTCGAGCTCCCCACACGTTGGGGTTTTGTTACACAACCTCTCTTGTGTCACTTCTGACTCCCCTTGTAATCACTGTGTATCCCTGCTGCCAATTTACTGTAATTTCACAACAGTATACATTTTTATCAGTGGAAAATGGCAGGAGACATTAACGAGATTGTATGCCATTAGCTGTCTTTTTGTATTTCTGTAATTTTCTCACCTGATTGTGTGAGTCTTTTTTAAAGATATCAGTACAGAATAACATGACACAAGTTAGAGACCAAGTTCAACATGTCATTGTCATGGTCATATTAACTTAACCCACCTGGTAAAGTTCACAGCAGAACACATTGCAGCTTTCAGTCCCAGAAACCAAACAGAGGAGAAATAAGTAGATTTTGGATTCAGGAACCATCCACAAAACAGTGTCTCAAAATGAGGTATTAGTATGGCCAGCCTTAAGGCGCTTATCTCTTCAGTTGATACTGTACTTTACTAGTGCTTATCATGCAAACCAATGATACCTGATACACAGTCACCCTGGGATGCTTGGGGCACCTGGGGGTCTGGGGCCATTGTTTATTGGAATTTAGACATTTTGATAGTTTGACTACATACTTGACTGGTTAATACTGAATCGAACCATGCTTCATTTGAAAGTTTGAATGAATTGGGAGTGTTAAACCAGCACATAGGCTTCGTTTTCAGGTAGAATGGAACATCTGGTGCTGTGCACCCTCAAATTAGCATACATGTAACGTAACGTAATCCCTGAACATAGACAAATATTTAAAAAAAATTAACTGGCTCATGATAGTAAAACAGCTATTTCTCGTTCTAAAATAGCTCTCTTGTGTGGCATATTGGCATGGGGTTACAAACAGTAGGTGTAGCAAACAGCCGCACCACGCCTGTCACATTTAACGCGTGCATCCTGAAGCGTGGTGGGTGGAGAGGATTTTGTTTTGTTTATTTTCGTGTGTTGTCAGCTAATATTATATATATACACATTATATAGTTTTAGTGTAGTAAGGCGAACAGATAAACAACTGCACGCTATGGTAATGTGACATGGTAACATTTCTTGGGGGTAACGTTAACGCATTTGTGCAATCACAGAAGGTTAACGTTAGCGAGCTAGCGTGTAGTTAATGAAGGTCTTTTACCGTTAGCTCTTAGCGTATGAGCTAGCAAGCTAGCCAAAACAATAATATCGCACGCTAGTTAACGCTAACTTTAGCTATCGTATCAAATTTTTGGTTGCTGGAGCCACTCACTTATCACCTTTTACCACTTGGACAAACGCTATTCTCTTGCGCGGAGAAATCACTGCAAGTCTACAAATCAGTGTGTGTATGATTTAGGTAACGTTGTTAGGAGACGAATGCTTTCTAAACTAGCGCTGGCTAACGGCAACTACCCGTGATAGCTAACGCCACTCAATATTAGCTGGGCAGTGTTGCTAACGTAATGCTCGTTTACAATTGCACTTTTACTAAACATACGTATTCATTTCAGTAGTCGTGAGTAATAACTGAGCGGTGTAAACGTCAGGTTGGGTCGCAAACTACTGATACATTGATAGGAAGGATAAGTTAACGTTAACATTACCTGTGTTTACTAACGCTAGCTCTGGTACTCATCATGGCTAACGTTAGCTAAGCTAAGTTGTGTTTGCTGTTAAAATACTCTTAAAAAGCAATCTTATGTTCACTTAATCTTAATCGTGATATAGTACAACAACTCCAAATAATGAGAAAACGCAGCTTTCGTTGACATTGCCTTTCAGACAGGACATAACTGCCATGTTTGCAGATGATGATCAGTGAGTTTCTGCATGAATTAATGTGAGCTTTTATGCAGTGGTTGTTCCGCTTAAAGCATAACTTTCCGTTGTCTTACACGACTAACTAAGATGGGCGTATTCACTGAGTATTAAATAAAAGATAAACAACCTAAAATAGTTAAAGGTTTTAAAAGTTGCCGAAAATTATGTTGTTCACCAACTGGACAGTGACGGAAGTGTTATTTTACTGTGTGAACATGATGTTAAATCAGAGTTAAACACAGATTGTACATTGAGTGCTATTTTATGTGATGCAATGTGAAATTTGGTTGGCATACTCCTCTGGACTCTCAGCCATAATACACTGGTCTTTCTGTTTTAGGTTGCTAAGCTTGGGCAGTGTTGGATCAACAGTACTTTCACCTTGACACTGATACAACTGTAAAGCCTCCCCAAGGTTAAAACCTAAGGAGCAAGATGTCAATCACAAACACCCCCACAAGTAATGATGCCTGCCTGAGCATTGTGCATAGCCTGATGTGCCACCGCCAGGGAGGAGAGAGCGAAAGCTTTGCTAAGCGAGCTATTGAAAGTCTTGTCAAGAAGCTGAAGGAGAAGAAAGATGAGCTGGATTCCCTGATCACAGCCATCACTACGAATGGAGCTCATCCTAGCAAGTGTGTAACCATACAGCGAACTTTGGATGGACGCCTACAGGTATTCTTGTAATTGTAAGAAATAGTGAGATGCCACAGAAACATTACCTATCTCATTAAATGTTTGTCTCTGCTTTAGGTTGCAGGGCGTAAAGGTTTTCCTCATGTTGTCTATGCCCGTCTGTGGCGATGGCCTGATCTACACAAGAATGAATTAAAACACGTGAAATATTGCCAGTATGCCTTTGACCTGAAATGTGACAATGTTTGTGTCAACCCATACCACTACGAGAGGGTTGTCTCTCCAGGCATTGGTAAGTAACTATCACATGTTTGTTAGTCTTGACTAGAGTTTTTTGTCTATTGGTAAATATAGAACAATTCAAAGGAGTATTAATCCACAGTTGAAATGATTACTTTGAATTTTATATCTTAAATACATTGTTCAGATATATATGTATAATTGTCTTAGTATGGAGTCAGGACATCTTTGAGCCTACAGAACTGCCTTGTTGCTCCTTGCCAAGTCTGTGGAGAGATGAATACCATTCCTCCACAAGATATTCTTTAATTTATAGATATAACCTATCACACTAAGTGATAATTGAGTGTTATGATGTAGTGATCTGGTTGAAAGCCCAGATCACAGCCCACGTTCTAATTCTTACTCATAATAATGACCTACATGAACTGATCGATAGATACATATGTTCTTTTTCACATTTTTGCAGACTTATCAGGACTGGCCATTTCAAGTTCAGGTAAGCAGGTGCAAAAGTTTTCCTGTTTGCTTGTTTCTTTGCCAGATTTTGTCAGTCTTACCTATGTCGGTTGCCTCCATGTAGGTCCACTCTTGGTGAAGGATGAGTATGACTATGACAACCAGCAATCTCACTCAAGCTCTGAAAGCCACCTGCAGACTATCCAGCATCCCCCGTCGAGGCCCAGTCCACAGGAGACCTTCAGCAGTCCCGCTCTACTCCCCCCATCAGATGGCAGCAGTTCAGCTTCAACCTCTGCTTTCTCTACTGTCAGTGCTGGACCCTCAAGTGAGACACTACACTGGGACTACACATATATTGCAAAACATAATGGAAAATGCACTCGTGCTGTTTTTTGCCTGTCAGAAGTAATGAATGCAATCAAATAAAAAAAAGCACTTATTTTGCATCATTGTACAAGTACATTTAGGTCATTTAAAACAGCACTATTTATATGGGATTACCTGTCCCCAGCAAAGCAAAAAATTTAATTTGGGCAAATAATGCAATAAACATCTATTTTTAGTATTTAGCTTTAAGAGCTGATACCGGACTGCTACCACACAGACTTCAAGTTGGCACAAATTTGGAAATGCAACTGTTTTCAATTTATCTTTACAGATCCTACCCCCAATTGGAGTAGAAACAACAGCTTCCCCCCTGCGGTGCCTCAACATCAGAATGGGCATCTACAGCATCATCCACCTATGCCTCACACGGGGCATTACTGTGAGTAGATGGAAAACATTTCTGTAAAACTCACATCAAGCCTGGAAATTAGTCCATATCATTTCAGACAATTTACAGATCATTATAATAATGAGCTCTTGTTAATTAGTTATTTAGCTGAACATTGGCTGCTGTGACTGGAGGACATTATTATCATGGAGCTGTTAGTTCACCGCTGATTGACAGGGCAACTCAGATACAGTGTTCACCTCTTTTATTTGATGGAACCTTCCTAAGCGCTATCCATATTAAGAAAATTCACCAGGGAAGGGAATTTAGCAGATTTAAAAGTAGATTTGAACAGTTAAATTTATTTTCTCCAGCAGACTTCCTCATGTTTAGATGTATAATTGCATTACACATTTATGAATATGTAACAAGCTAAAGTAAAATGTGTTACTTTGGCTGAAGTGAAGATAAACTGTAAATGTTAAAGATCACCCCCCACTTCTGGCATTTTATGAAATCTGGTCATTTTTAGTGCCATTGCTGCATTATCTAACACATACATTTTAAGGACTGCTTGCATCTCATGAAGAATTGCCTGTTCCGAATTAATATCAGTATGTTCTTGCAGGGCCTGTTACCAATGAAATTGCATTCCAGCCCCCCATTTCCAATCACCCTGGTGGGTATCAAGCTTCAGACGTACGACAATAAACATATTTAACATAACGTGTGCAACTTATTTCACCTGAGGGTGCTTTTTGTTTGTTCCAGCTCCAGAATACTGGTGCTCTATTGCGTACTTTGAGATGGATGTCCAGGTTGGGGAGACGTTTAAGGTGCCATCCACATGTCCGATAGTGACTGTGGATGGCTACGTGGATCCATCAGGAGGGGATCGCTTCTGCTTGGGACAGCTAAGCAATGTCCACAGGACAGAGAATATAGAGAGAGCCAGGTACTATATCATCATAATTCATTCAAGCATTTCATATTTAATGTGTGTATTAGTGATTCTCAGTAATACAAAGTGTCTGTAGTGTCTCACCTCTCTGACTGTGTTTTACCCGTCTTTTCCTCTCCTTTCTGTCGTTAGGCTCCACATTGGCAAAGGCGTGCAGCTGGAGTGCAAAGGTGAAGGCGATGTCTGGGTGCGCTGTTTGAGTGATCACGCCGTGTTTGTGCAGAGCTATTACCTGGATCGAGAGGCCGGACGCGCCCCTGGAGATGCTGTTCACAAGATCTACCCCAGCGCTTACATCAAGGTGAGACTGCAGTAAGAAAGTCATACAATGAAAAGCAGAAACATTCCCAGTAGGTGTTATGAGACTTGCAAATTTGTATTGACACTGGCTACATTTACATGCACAGCGATAATCCAGTTATAATGTAATTAAGTCTCTAAAGGGAGTAAAGTGGGGCTATTGGAAAAACCAGACTCTTATGTTAATGCTACCATGCTCAGAGTTGGAGTAACCGTAATCACACTAAAAAATGCTGAGGAACCCATCTGTAGTTGTAATACTCAAGGGCTTTTTGACCATCTATACATGTGAAGCAACATATTATAGTTTATGAACTTAGTCGAGGTAACATTAAACCTCCCAATATTAGTAGACAGTCAAATGGTTGAGTGTTCATTCAGTATGTTGTCTTGTCATCAGATCTTAGCGTTTGTCTTGTCCCCTGCCAGGTGTTTGATTTGCGTCAGTGTCACAGGCAGATGCAGCAGCAGGCAGCAACAGCTCAAGCAGCAGCTGCAGCCCAGGCAGCAGCAGTGGCCGGGAACATTCCCGGGCCCGGCTCTGTGGGAGGTATCGCCCCTGCCATAAGTGAGTGTTGTTACTGATGCACTTACCCTTCAACAAGGGTTATTGTTATTACGATAGCTTCTTATCATTGTCTTTAGTGAGCATTTTAAATCTTTCTTATGGGACTAAAATTTACAGCGTTGTGAGCAAAAGTAAAATAGAGCGGCACCAACGGAAGAAAAGCAACCAGCTGTGGTAATTAATGAAAAAGAAAAACAAACAAGCTGGGACACAGGCTACATTTTCTTAATGACTATTAATAGCTATTTAATCAGCAACTAAACTGCACTGACTTTGCTCATTTGAAAGCTATGCTTTAACAGTTTTATGTGCAACTGTGTCATGTAGGAATTCTGGGTCTGGATGTGGTTGAGCCACAAGTTGGCCACGAGTTTCAGAACATTATCGGGGAAAGTTTGCTGATCTTAAAAAGACAAAAGATTTCATAATGTGCTGATTTTTAAATGTATTTATTCACACTTCATTGTGAAGTTAGTCCAAAAATACAGCTGAGGTGGAAGAACTGTGACTGCTATGCACAGCTGCTGTTATCACGTAGTCTCATTTAACCGGAAAGTTGGAGCTAGTATCATTACGTGTGGCCTCATCAGAGTGGGAGATGTGCTTATGGCAGTATAACTTTTTCTGCTTTATTTTACATTTAGCTGTGTGTTTGCTCAGTATATGTTCCATTTTACTGCAAGAGTAACTTAGCTAAAATATCTGTGCAAGCCTTGGCCTATTGTGCCTCATTGATCTAAAAGTTGCTGCTTGTAATTCCCCTGTAGGTTTGTCTGCTGCTGCAGGCATTGGGGTTGATGACCTGCGCAGGCTGTGCATCCTGCGGATGAGTTTCGTGAAGGGCTGGGGGCCCGACTACCCACGGCAAAGCATTAAAGAGACACCCTGCTGGATTGAGATCCATTTACACCGAGCTCTACAGCTACTGGATGAAGTTCTTCACACCATGCCCATAGCTGACCCTCAACCTCTTGACTGAGTTAAAAGACATGAACTGTACAATTAAAAAGATTGTACTTCTAGCAGACCACTCCACCTATGGGACTGGAGTGCCTGCAAGGAGGACTGCAACGACAGGGATGCTGAGTTTGAGTGTAGAAAAACGTACACAAAGGCTGGCAGTATATTCCAAACACACTGCTTTCAAATCCAGTGCTGCGAGATGTTGCCAGTATACTAAGTGAGACTCCTGGTGTGTAAGTTCAGTGACTTCTAAACAACAACTGAAGAAACATGTGAATCGTAGTACTCTGGACACTCGCTAAAAGATGCGCATGAAAAGGGAAGAAGGTATTCTGACATTGTTTACCAATTGGAATTGCAACAGCATGAAGTGAACAAGGCTGTCTCTCAAATCGCTGATATGAATTAAAGAACGTGTCCACACCGAGATTAAAAAGATGTAATAAACCTATCAATTATTTAAGTAGCCTTAGTGCTATACAAAGAATTCATACTCCGCTACTCTTTTTTCCATATTTAAGACTTACAGAGCCCCCATATCTGACTGACAAAATTATTTTTTTGAATTGTTTAGCAAGGAGGCAAACTATTAGACTTAATCCAGAGAACAATGTGGTTTCTTGTGTTGGATGCAAACCTTTTATTTACCGTGTCTAAACATACTAAAAGTGATTCCAGTTGGAGTATACTGCTGGCCCAGTCCTCCTTTATTGGCTCTCCGGTGCTTTATGGCTTCATGTAATGGGTTTTTTTCCCCTCACAGATAAGGACATTTATGTAAAATGTTATTCATTACTGATGTTTTTGTAAGATGTAGTCTTAAATATTTTTCAATGCTGACGATCCTTGTTTGACATTTTTTGACTGAATAGTTGTTTTTAACGACGTAAGGAGCAATTGAAGCACCCATATTAGTGGACCTCGGCTTCTCTGTCAACACCATAAACCTGTTACATTATTCTGTCACCAGTCGAGGCTGTAATTACATTGAGAGGTGATGTTTTCTACTGATTTTTTATAAAATCCCAAATATTAATTGAAATTATAAAATATTTTCAAAAGAAAAGCTTATTGTAACACATCTGTGTAATATTATTTGTAGTTATTTTTTTATTAGATGCCCACATAGTGTCCATTAGCACTTTTATTAATTTGTAATATTTTGTCTTGTTTCATAGTCTCGTGTGGTTACTTGTTGTATCCATATAATCTCTTAGCATAGTGGAAAAGTTTTACTTGCTAATGACTTTGGTGAGAGCCATGAAAAATGTGCTTCAGAGTGTCTGCCCAAAATCTGTATTTTCAGTAAGAAACACTCACCGACTACAGGATTGAAAGGTGAATTTACCATTCTGGCAAAATGATGACTGCTTGGAACATATTGACTTGTGGTTAATTTGAAACCTTGTCTGTGTACGATGACACCGACGTTAAACAACCACCTTTCAAACCTACAGCCAGATAAATCCGTCTGTATTTGTTGTATACTGTTTTTAAAGTCTGTGGCGACATTCCTGTGCTGGCACACACCGGTAGTGATGTTTTTAAAGCCAGCCAGCAGCAATTGATTTGCCAGCAACTCAGTATGGCAGAGCCTATATGTCGTAAGCACGTGTCAACAGTGTTGTGTAATTACACTGCAGGTTTAATGTAACACAGCTGAGAAAAGAAAACAAGAAATTAACTGTGAGAGGAAGTTTAAGCCATATTGATGCCAAATATGAAAAGACAAACGGTTATCAGATTGCAGTCATCTCAGTGTTAAGTCGCTTGTAAAAGCTTGGTTTTAATGATCAACTGAATGATTTTAGTTTTTGCTCTGCACTATTGATTTAACAATATTTTAGTATTTGGAGCTCTGTTTACCTATAGCTATTGCAGTATTTTATACTCTTTTACTACCTTTACAGCGATGAACCACTTGGGTCATAATTGAAAATAATTTAAGAAAATAAAAACGCTGTACAATTTTCAGGAAATGCAAGGTCATGCTCATCTTAACATTGTGTCATACATTCTGAATGCATACGGAGTTTGAATGATATTGGTGTTTATATGTATGAATATGGTTGAATAAAATCTAATGGGCTAACACGTCGATTTGGAGTCAAAACATCTTAGTTTGGAATTTGATCAGTGTGTAGAGTCAAAATGATGAGCAAGGACACAGACTTTCAACAAGAAAACGTTTATTACTGCAAAGACAAGTCACAAATTTTAAGAAAACAACACTAAGAAGCTAGCCTGAGCTGAGATCTGAAATATTCAGAAAACCAAACTACATGTGTCTTTAATAGTTTCTATAGTCATCAATACGACACACTAAATGATAATGTCTTTATAAATATAAAAGTCCCCCAATTGTCCTTGTTTTTTATGTAAAATACACAATACAAATCACCCTACACGCATTTGTTTGCTTGCCAATTTGAGAAGAAATCTTAATGGCACACAAAAAGAAAGTCACATGAAATTTGTGTGTATATATTATATCAGATAGTATACATTATCCGAAAAGGAAATCACAAAAGCAACCAACATATCTGATAAAATGTTCACCAAAAGAACAAATCAAATAATTAGGACACAAATAAATATACCTTTTTCAGTTTTTGATATATACATATTTTTGTCTAGGGTGAATGAAAATAAAAACCTTCCCCAAATGCCACTGCCAAATGCTTGTGCTTGCATTAGAGCGTGCTACAGATGGCCACGACTCACTAGACTGTCAAATGGCACTTGAAAACATCCAAATACAAATCTCAAAACAGGTCACAGCATTCAGAAAATATCGTTCGACGAAAGAAATCACGATCATGAGAAAAGAAGTCCTAAGAGAGCATTTTACTTACAGTAACTCCCCTTGTTCATTAACCAGTTCTATACAATAAAAAGCAGTCTGCAGATAATCTACCGTGTGTAAACTATCAAGTATGCATGTGTGTGTGTCTGTGGTGTCACATCCAGTAAATAATAAATAGTCCAGTCTGAGGACAGGTCTTTATGCTTCCTCAGCCCCGGTGTCTTCTCAGTGGCAGCACCTGTGCAATGAAATGTCTGCTCTGATAGCCTCTATCTGTAGCCCACCAGAGACCCAATAGTTACCCAGGCCATCTGCTCTGGCCGGGGCGAAATTAAAGGCACTGGAGTCTGCTATGGGTCAGTGAAGCTGCCATTTTGTCCAGGTGAAGAGGCATCTCTTAGCTTTTGCTCCTATGACAAGTTTAGGAATAGCTTATGTCTTTTTATTTATTTTATTATATTTTTCATGTTTTCTGGTTGGAAACAGGCTCATTTGCAAACAGCTGTTACAAAAACAATCTTACTTCTCCATTTAAAAGACACCAAGAAATAAAGTACAATTGTGTTGGCAGCATTAACATCATTCCAGTGTAGACCAGGCAGGCTTTGAGTTGCAGAAAGCTAAATCACTGTCTGGCACGTTAATGTAAAAAAAAAAAAAAAAGGGGAGGGGCAAAATTGACCAAAAAAAAAAAGAAAGGTTTCTAGCAGCACATGGTAGACGTGCAAGACCAGAAAGCACTTATGATCCTAAAGCACACAATAAAGATTTAAAGAAAACATTTTATAAGCCATATTCACTTCAGGCACAAAATAATACAAGTTTACATCTACAATGCTGTAGTTCATTTATATGACGAGGGAGCTGAGATTCATATTTTTTTAACAAAAATCATTCATTGAGAGAATGGCCAAAAAATGCCATTGGCAAGAAAAAGTGTCCTGCAAAACCTTCATTTCGGTACACACTACCCAGATTTACAACATAATTTAACATTTTAAAGTCACAGATAGAACGCCATCACTTTTTACAACTTCATTCTCAAAAATTCAGTGAGTGCTGGAGTCAGTTAAGTGAGCTCTTGGGAATGGGGTAGTTGATTTTCTGGGAAGTTATTATGCGAACACAGATTTACGTGTGGCTCTGGAGAAAGTATAAGAGGTGATCTAGGGCTTAAGTTTTGCTATCCATTCAATTTTTTTAGATGGACATTTTCAATACTTCCTCCCCACTTGCCTTCAGCAGTTTAATACCAAGTTCATTATGCTCACCGACTGATGTAAACAAACAGCCTCAGGCGTTCAACTTCCAGCTGCTTAAAATTAATTGACATCTTCTTGCAGACTTTTCAAAAGCAACATAATAAGAAAGCCAGATTTGTGTGTGCTCAATTCCTAGATCTGGTAAGCCCGACATTTCAAGACAGCAGGATGAGGCTACAGCATGAGATATGTACCGTAGGTTTAATCAATGAGGAAGGTGTCTTTGGGGTTGCCATAATTTACTTTTCAGATTCCCCAAAGTGTCATAGAAATGATTTAACAAAACATCTGAGAGAGTCCGCTGACCCAGTAACCTAAATGATGTGCAGTATTTGCACTTTCCCACCCTCCTTTACTGCTAAGCATGTTTTCTACACAGGCACAACCACAAAAACAAGGCAAATATCCTGTGTACATCTAGTATCTAAAGGAAATCTTTGACTAGTAATAGAACATAACAGACTGATTACAGCAAACACAGTGCCAACCCATTTTTTCCAAAAACCTTAAATCAGTGTACTTTACTTACAAAAGGAAAAAACAAAACAAATCAATAAACAAACAAATCAACAAAAAAAACCTCTGGTCCACCTGTACAGTAGGTTTGCTCTTTGCAGTGGTATACTTCATGATTCATTATCACTACCCATTATAATGTGTTACAATGGGTAGGCATCTAAACAATAACAAAATACAATAAATATCAATAAATAAACATTTCTGCAGGGAAATGGCACAGACCATTTCACAGAGCATGGAAAAAAACAATTACAATTTAGTTTAGTAACAAAATCTTCCTATTTAGAGGATTAATCTCAATATTCGCCACAACACAGAAGGCTATAACAGTTCAAGTATAGATGTAGTCTAATGAATCAGAAGTTAGTCCCCATGCTGTTTCCATTTCACAGTCTATGAACTAATTACAGAGGAGCTACCAAAAGAAACAATCACACATAAACAATCAGATCAACCACATAAAAAGCAACAAATATATGTAGTGTATGATCATTATATATACTATACATATATATATATATATATATATCTATATATCTATATATCTCTTTGAATATCACAAAATATCTACTTTTGGTCCACTGTACAAAGATGATCTTTAAACAGGGAACAAAGAATGAAAGCATTTTATGGGCTAAAAACTGAAGTGAAAATGTATCAGAGGTGAGAGAAAAGCAATGCAGTTTTTCTCTATCGCGTTGAGATTTGTGCAGTACAGTGGTGTGTGTGCAATAAGGTTTGGTGACTGTGCTGCACGCGTCAAAGGGCTGGCACCACTGGTTTGAGGTAGGGTGACTGATGGATGTGTTCCAACACATACACACACAAGCACGCAGACACACACACACACACACACACACACACACAGGCTTATATACACATGTACACATGCACATAAAAACACAGTGCAGACCTATGCATCCGTGTACACAAACACACACACTTCACCCGATAACAAAGGCTAATGCGAGAATAGGCCTTAGGAGGGCAGAGTGAGGGCAGGGGGCAAGGCTAAAGACCATGATTCAGATAAGTAATAGGCTTAGTAGAGCTGATCCAGAGAAAACAACAGGTGTGTCTGTGCCTGCATTCCTTGGTGTCAACACTGATGAGCCAGCCCAAATCCAGCCACGAGTCACCAGAAAGCCAAATCTGTGGCTGGGACAATGCAGAGGGGCTGTGGGCTCTCTACAGCACACAGTCAGGACTTCAAGGACAGCTGCATTTAAGGATAAGGCACTATGATAAAGCCGAGGTACATTAAATCCCTGACATTCCTTCTGCTCTGCAACATGGCACTGTGGGACAGGAAACAGCTCTTGGGTGGGCCCATATGGCTCACTCTCAGCTTCCTCTTGTTAAGTTTGTTTTTTGGTCCTTTGTGAATTTCATTAAAAGACAGGAACTGCAAAAAACGGGAGGGGGGGGTGGGGGGGTGGGGGGGGTGTAAGTTGTCCAGTAACATTACACAATTAACAATTACAGCTTGTTGTGTAAACCACACTGAAGAGCATCTAAAATTAACAAAGGCAAGTGTTATGCACGGAGTGCATAGAAAAGCTAGCATTGAGGAAGTGGTTTTGTACAGCCGGTCTTCTCAATCTCATTTCTATATACACGAGTAGCAGCACAGATACTTCTTAATTTTTCCTTTTTCTGTGGCTAAAATCTGTAAGTGGTTATCAGTGGGTGGCTACCATATCATTTTTAGAACAGACCAGACAAAACTGCCCCATGATCCTTTTTCAAATGTCATACATACATAGAAAGTCATCCATTTGTTTTTTAGCTACATACAATACTCAAAATATTTTGTTCAGCCAAACGTTTATCAGCAGGTGGAATGCATGTTGACAAAAATCATACTAAAATTAGGAGGGAATTAAAACAAAACAATGATAGCACCATGAGTTTTGGATAATACCAATTGAAAGTACAGCAAAACTATTTACAATAGGCAAAGGTCTTGAGTCTATCGATGACTTTGCTCCACTGGGACTAGTGACATGGATTTGAGCTCTGAGACATCAGTAGTTTGAAGGAGTTTAATTTTCCTTCAAGATAAAACCTGTCTTTATAGACAGACAGAGGCTTTAAGTCATACCTAGGCAGGAAACATTTAATGGGTCAAATTAGTCCTTCTCCTCCAGCTGCCGCATTGTGATAGAGCACAGAGACTTATGGGATGACAGCACATCTAGAATCTAAGCAGTCAGACACGGACAGCACATCTTGGCCAGAGTATCATCATTTCAGCACTCCCCCACTGACCGGGCTAGATAGGGATTGGAGAGCTTGTCTACACAATTGCAGACAGAGACAATACATGAAAAAGACGGATACATCTAGACTTACAGCGAGAAAGATATGTGGCGAGTGAGCAAAAATAGGCCTGACAAGGTTAGCCGTGCCCTCAGACCCTCAAACGGAGGCATAGGTGTTGCCTGTGGTGCTGCAGTGGCGGATGGTGGGAGTACCAGCAGAGGGGGTTAGGATGTGCTCAGTGTGGTCCTGCGGGGGCTGGGGCAGCGAGTGGAGGACACCTGGCTGGACGACACCCACCACAGGGTGGGACCCGTCCTCTAATGCCCCGACCTGGATAACCTGGATCACCTCATGCTCCGACTTCTCTCGTTTGGCAAGAGGTTCCCCAGACTCTTCCGTGTCCTCTTCTAAGTCACTGTCCATCCCACTTGTTTCATCTAGACAGGAGAAAACAACACATTTATAAAACACTGGTACAGACTCAAGAGCTCAAGGCAATTAGGAAATGGTTAATACTGAACACTGCTAAGAACTTGTTTTCTCTTCACAAGATGTTTTGGTTTACTCGTTCACTGAGATTTAATTGAAAACATGCCTCCATGAGCCTCATGTTTCCTGCTGCAGGTGATCGTGTTTCAATTTGTCAATTAAAAAGTCTAACACAATAAAGGATATTTTTCCACAATTAAGGCTTCATCAATTATAGATCAACAAAAGAGTAAAACACACAAGTATGCAAATACATCAATATTAAAAGGCAAAGCATGCCAGTGTGTGCTATAGCATTAACCATATTTTCTACTGCCCATCACTGACCTAAATGGCTAGTGAATTTAACTGACTGTAAAAACAAGTCTTTTGAAAACGTTAATTATTGCTCAAAAGTTACAGGATCTCTTTTCTAGAATACTTGAGTTCTTAGCTATTGCACTTTATACATTTTGCCACATACCTTTATCAAGGTTACTTAGGGACAGGGTGTTGAGGCTGTCGAACTGAAAACAGAGACAAACGTCATAATTAGAGGGGCCAATAATGATTCACATAGTTTTAATGTATTATTATACATACATTATGACTTTTTTTTGGTGATCCAAGTCTCATCTAAATTGTTTTCTCTCTTGTGTTTATGACCGAAGGACAGGTGAAAAAAAAGGTTGTGCCGGGATAATATTTTTGTGTTAGCATGCTATACAGTGTTTCCCCTAGGATTTTTTTCACTGGGGGGAGGTTGACCCCCCCGAAACGACCAGTGTTGCGGAGCAGCCAAGTTACGGATACATGGTGTAGTCATCGATGCACTCATTTTTGCCTGTCACCTTCTCCGTTCCTCTTCGACATTTTTATTGCTAAAGTTACTACCTCCTGATGGAGCTACAGTTATGCTACATTCACATATTAGGCAATGAAACCATGAAATACATCAAATTGTTGGCCAGATTCTGTTGAATTCTTGCCAGATTCTGTGTTTTCTATTTCTATTCTCTCTAGTGTGTTAAATGTTAAAACAGGCTATTATAATACTATTTGATAGGGGACAATTCAGAATTAATACATTGTTGCAGTACATGTATTGTGAATTGTCCCCTATAAAATAGGTTATTACTTGACAGCCTCCACATGGTATACGTGGGTCTGACGACGCTACTCTCACGTGGGCAGCGCGCATCCTTGACCAAACATATGTTTTTAGTTATTTTAAGGGATAATCTGACTCCGTCCACACAGCCACAAAATCTACAACGAGCTGGGCTGGCGTACTGCATCTGCTAATGAAGTTTCACTTCAAGTTAGCTCTTGCTAGTGCGCTGTCTTCAATATGAAAGTGTGTGTCAGAGTGGAGGAGCTGCTAAGCCCCGCCCACACTAAAACACTGATGGGGAGGACAGAAGCAGCTCCGGTAAACACCAGAGCAACGTTGCATGACTCAAGTTCAAATAAATTTAACTATTGAGGCGATAAGCAAGAAGCGAATTCCCTGTGTGGGTTTGTGTGTGTGCGCTAGTTCTCGCACGTCCGTTTTTTGTTTTTGAATATAGCCAAATTATTTATATTTCTGTCATTCCCCCCAAACAATGTTAAGGGAAACACTGCTATATAACATTATTGTCTTGTCTAGCTTTTGGCTAAAAATGTATTTTAATCTGCACTAATCCTAATCCCATTCTTGCTCCTCAGGGCTTCCGTAGGTACTACATTGTAATTAGGTAAAAATCTCTTCTGGGGTAACACTGTAGTGTATCACAGTGGCACTGTAAAATACTATAAAGATAAGATGCCAAAGTTATACCTCCCCCATGACACCCATGGGTGTCTCTCCAGTAGCTTGGGCCACACGATGCTCCACTAGGTAAAACATGTACTCGTCATACAGCAGGCGAATCAGGTGGAAGGAACCAAAGCTGGCAGCACTGCGCAGAGTCAGGTCCCTGATCACCATAGAACTGCAGAGACATGAAAAAAATATTTTAAGTGTTTTGTCTATTCAAAACAACGCTGCACAGACGTGTCTCAGTATGGTTGTGTTTTTTGCAGACCTGTAGAAGGACCACTTGAGCAGAAACTGTCGCGCTGCCCTGGGGAAGCTGGGCCGGTGCTCGTAAGGCTTGAGCACCTGAGTGACCACATTGTCCAGCCAGGCCGCCCATTGCTCCAGAGAGCTTTGCTGCTGTAGTGTGGCCTTGAAGTCCTGCTCCAAGTGCTGAACCACTCCCTCCTCACACTGACACACCCATGATGCCTGCTCCTATACAGTAACATAAAGAACTGGGGGTTCACACTTGCACAGTGAAACTAAAAGTGAAAAATATGTTTATATTCTTTTGGGGTGGATAACAGACAAGGGATAATGTAAAACATATAACTGAAGCTCCACTGCTGAATATCCAAACAAAGAGCTGTTCTGACCTGTACGTTGGCAAAGTCAACACGGTTGAGATCACTCAGCATCTGGTTGATCTGTGATGTGTTTTGCAACACAGCACGTGCCGCCTGAGCCAGGTGGTTCAGAGATGTGTATCTGCGCAGTGTTTGCGCAAAGGCACTAACAGCAGCAATCTGTAATAGGGGCCACACAAAAGCCCAGGTGTTACCTACTATAAGTACATCCCTTTCAAACTGGATAGTAAAAATATTACTCTCATGTATTAATCATATATTTTACAAACAGTAACGAGTCACTTTTATATGTAGCATTTTCACAGCAGGTAAAGTCTGTATGAATGCTGCAAGCGTACCTTGGTCTGGATCATTCTCTGTGGAATGGCATTCATGGCATTATTGAGCCAACCTTCCAGGCTTTTGGCAAAGTTGCGAATGGCTTGAGTCAAGGCACCTGAAAAACAAACACACGAAGAAAAAAAAAAGAAAAAAAGACAGAAACAACAACAGTGAGTTAATGATTGTGTTATTATGAATATTACCATGCCAAACATGTAAACATGAGAGGTGTCGATGACTGTGGCTCACTGGGAATGGGTCTCAGGACATCAGGAATGAGGATCTCCACGAGGGACTGGTACATTAGATGGTCACAGGTGCTCATCCATTTGAGTACAACCTCGTTTCTACACAGCACCAATAGCTGTGACCGGGGGAGCCGCACTTCAATCTCACTTATACTGCTGAGGAATGAACAAACCAGACTTAGAAGGATGGCTTTCAATTTTCAGATTATCCTAGAATAAGGTTAGATATGTATCTCTTTGTAGCTAATATTTGTCTTTAGCAAAACACTGAAAGACTTGATTTAAGGTATCAGCTTGACCTCACCTGTTTTCTGTTACAGTGGCACCCTCTACAGAGTCAGGGGGAGAATAACGCCAGAATGTCTGCCACAGCTTCTCAATTAGACTGAACTGGAGGTTGACAACCACATCCAGGATAGCCTGAAACAAAAGCACAGAACAAACAAAAACAGTGAATAGTTTTTACTGGAACTACTTCCTAAAAGAAGAAAAAGTCCCTTTGAAAACTGCTGACAGTGAACTCTGTGGATTATCCAGAGGAACCAAGACTTTGTCAATTGTCAATGTCAGTTTTTCAGTGCTCTAAGGAGCACACATGAAATTTCACCTCGTATTGCCATAGCAACAGAAATCTCATTCATGGGCATCCCAAATCCTCAGCATTTCAATCCCTAACTTATCTGCACGGCTAGACAGCAGTAAGGACATGTGAGGAAATATTTTTTATTGTTTTAAAAAAATAAGTAATTTGGATGAACTGACACTTAAATCATGACAACCTCTGTCTGTCAAACCAAAAGGCCATCACCTGTGGAGGACCTGATCCCTAGTTTTTCAGACATTAGGAGAGCTATGATTGAAAACTTCACAAAATGAAGAGAAAATTCTGTTCTAAAATGCCAGCAGCTGGCATTTGCGGATCTCTGTCGCTATGAGCACACATGACCTTTCCCAAAGTTTCCACACTCCAGCCAAACTTTAAACCTGTGTTCTTTTTCAAAATTTGTAAAACTTAACTCAGTATTTTCAGTCTTACCAGCCTTTTCTCATTGAAGAGAGCTTAAATAAGATTAAACTAGTAAATTGCTGTCATGATAAATACTTGATTAAGGCATATATACACAAGGGGGAAAAAAAAAAAACCACACAGTGAGTTAGTGGGTGGTGAAATGCAGCTACTCCAGGAAGATCAATAGATGAATGTACAGTCTCAGTCTGTATAGTCATAATGATGATGTTGCATCAATGAACTCTACAATATTGAAGGGTCATACTTTGCTTTCTTTGAGCTCTGAATAGGGACCTGACCCCCGTTACCCCTGTGAAATATACTTAAGTGCCAAAGTGAGCTGTGGTGACTCTGCAGTGAAAACAAAAATAATGCACTTCATCTGACCTCACAGTGCTCTCTGTAAAGGGTCTGGAGAGCTTTCACATCCTCTGGGCTGATGTTCTCTGTATTGCTCTGTCCCAGGTCCAGGTCTACAAAGTCGGGGAGTGCCCTTGACGCATCTGTTGGGGTAATAAAAACACTAAATTCACCACTGTGGAATGATCTGATAAACAACATTCTGTATGTTTCACTGCATCTCACATGTTTTTGGATTTACAGACATCCAGATAAAAAAAAGATAGGTAGCTGACCTAGGAACTGCTGGTGGTGTTGGCTCTGTGCGATGACGGTCTGCTCTGCTGCACCAGGTTGGGGCTGGCCTCCACCTGAGTAATTATCCCCAGAGCAGCCATCAAACTTCTGCACTGGCTTGAACCTGAAATCACATGGCTCACCTAAGTATGTATGAAAAGTGCGACTTATGTCACAGGAAGTACTGCACGTCTGTATGTAGAGCTGGACGATTAGCCGAAAAGTAATCTTTCAGAAATTCAGAGCCTCTAACCGACATAATTTTCCCATGTCAGTTATTTTGGCCTTTAATCCTGTTAATATTTTCCCCACTGTGTGTGTTCACTGCCCCGTCAGTCCTACAGTGTAGGTCACAATGTGACTGTACATTTACTGCCAAAACCTTGTCAGTGAACTATGAGGGCAAAAAAACCAAAAACCAAAATAACCGTTCATTAATCGTGATTTTGATTTTAGGTCATATCGTCCAGCCCTATCTGTATGCATGCCAAGCTGACTGCGTACCTCTGTTTCTGCTGCACAGGTTGCTGTCTGAGGGCCATATACTGCATGTCTTCTTGGAGTCTATTGAGTGGCGAGTCTGGTTTCACACGTATGCCATAGTAATGATATTTGGAGTTCCCTCTGCAAGGATATAAAGTACAAAAAGTGGACACACATTGACAGAGTCTCATTGTGACGTGTACAGAAAAGTTCACATGGATGGAAAAGAAGGACAGAAAGGAACTTTTTTTTCTTACTTAAGAAAGGGAAAAGAGAGAAAAAGGAACACATAAGCGAACCTTGTCCCAAGGCGCCTTGTACGGAGTCCCATGAAGATGGAGCGGATGAGTTTGCCAAAAGAGGCTGCATTTACAGGGTCCAGTTTCTGCTCCTGGCAGTGGCGCAGATAATGATTGTAGAGGGTGGATCGTGGTAGACTTACGCCCTCTGCTGTCTCGTAATTGTCCAACAGCCACTGGAGCTACAAAGGAATACATGCTTTTTACTCAGGAGATGCATAAAATGGTCCACTCAAACTATCTGGAAAGACCTCAGACTGGCATTATTATCTGTAATGTTGATGTTGCAGCTTCCCACCTCTGCAAAAGCATTTCTATAGCAGCCAGTGAATTTAAAGCAATAGTTACAATTGAAACAGGCAACTAAAACAGCAAGCACCACATCAAACTCAAATATATACAGAGTTGAGAGAGGGAGGCAAAACAGCAAGAGATCCAGTCTAGCAAAAGCATTTTTGAAAAGCAACTTACATGGCTGTTGAGCAGTGAGCTTCTTTGACTGGATAAACCCTCAGATTTTTGGAGCGTCTCAATCGCCATTTCAATCTGATAAACCATGAAGCACAGGACAACAAAATGTAAGAGGGGGAAATAAAAACAAAAGCAAAAAAAATAAAGAGTTGATGTAGACACATTAGTGGCAACTAGCAAAAATAAAGAGAATCTAGAAAGGATCCCAAAGCAAGCACCACTAAACCCAAGCAGAGCAGGACTACCTGTCATTTAAAAAGGAAATCTTTGCCTAGTTGAGAAACAGGGACATAGGCTCAACAGGATCAAGTACATCAATCAGGGATAGCTGGCAGACACACAACCCTTCCAGATTCCACCAGCACATATCCACTTAAAACAACTCCCATGTGCAGAGAAAACACCAGACTCCATTACCAAAACAAAAGAATAGGGCAGTGTGCCAATATGATTTAGTAACACCTGCATGTCAGCCTCGAGAGTTATGCTGAAAAGCTGGTTCATGCTTCATGGAAAGAAGTCTAATTGGGTATTGGCATGTTTACAACAAAATCATACAGTAAGATAGGCTAAAAATGTGATGTGAAAGACATGGCATACAAGGTTCAAGGTCAAGGATCAAAGGACGTTTCTTTTTCTCTACGGCAAGTTAGCATTGTGTTTCTGTGTAATTTCATTGGTGGTGAATATTTGCAATGGTTGTCCCCTCAGCATCAGTTTTTACTTCTTTTGATCTATCTCAGATTCCTGAGATTACCTAGATGTTGTGATATCATACATGTGAAATAATTGAGTTGATAACTGGGGTTAAATACCAGTCATCACTCAGCAGTAAATACTGTCCATTTTTACATCACTTAGGCTGGACAAGGTTGAGCTGGTATTTTGTTTAAGCAAAAGTTAAATTACCCTTTTGAAATTTTGATTACTTAAAAAAAAAAATTGCAGCCATTTTGCCATGACTGACAGCCACATAATGTCAGTCAACACTCTCTGACCATCCTCCCCTCCTTAATACACCTGTCTCTCAGGTTTTAGCCCCTCCTTTCTTACACGCCAAAGAGGGGGAATAACAAACAGATGAAATCAGGGATGGAAACAAAGCCCTGCATTACTTGAACCTTAAATATTAAGGGTTACAATGTGAACATTGCTGGCAGTAGTTAGATCACTACAGAGACTCTGGCCCAGCCTACGCAGCGCACCACATACATCAGCAAAGGATCATTGCCAGAGGTAAAACACACCATACACAATCATGGAGGAGGGGCACACAAAAGCTGTTTCTCTATAATGTGACATAATGTGTGTACCACACACTGCAATTGTGAAAACGTGACACAAATATTGAGAATGGCATTCTGCATTTTGGATCAAACTAGTGCATAGATCAATAAGGTATGACAGAAACAGAACATCCGCGCTAATAGGGAGAGACTAGGCAAATAAATGGCTGTGTGGATCTGAACAGCAAAGAGTTAGAAGTTACTACAAAGTCACTACATACACTAATCTGATGGTCTATCAACAAAGTCAGGCAGGAAAAGGCAGCTGAGGGGCCCAATTTGTGGGTGTTATGCACATCATTATATATATATATATATATATATATATATATATATATATATATATGGCTCTATTAATTTACTCTTGTAAAGCACTTTGTGACTTATTCTGTGAAAGGTGCTATATTAAATTAAATTTTTTTACTTACAGTAGCTGGGGAAGCTCGTGCGGTCTGAGTAGCAGGGTGGGGTCCAGTGTTGTCCATGATGTAAGCCCCAGGACTGCTGCTGATTACCTGACCCCCCGCCAGATTCATGCTCATTCCTCCATTGCCCCCTCCTCCATTGTTGGTCATGCCATGAGATGTCACCACAGTGGCCACTTGTGATGAGCTGCCCTGTGTGTCAAAGTAGCTCCCTCCACTGTTCTGGCTATACAGTTGCGGCTCTGAGTACGAGTAGGTTCTTCTGTTCAGAAGAGAGGTTAGCAGTTAGGCAATGATAGGCAAAACCATCTATATTATTAATTATTACTTGTAACTTGCAACTTAGCTGTTTCTTGGAATATTTTTTTGAGCCTATGTTTACAATTACAGAGTACAAGTGTTCATTATTGATAATGTTATCATTTTTAATGGTGACATTAAATATCTAAAAAATGTGTTTTTACATGTGATTTGGGTAACCAATATTATGTTGAGACAAGCCTGGTAGTCACCTCATGAGTCCAGCTATTTGGTATATGTGTGATTTTGTATTTCTAAGCCCCTTACATGAGTGTTTCTACCAGTCACACAGTATGTATGTACATGCACTGATGTGTGTGTATGTGTGTTTCACAGTAGGACCAACAGCTTGGGCTTGTTAGTGGTATGTAACCCCATTCCACAGACCCAGGGGAGCCTGGCATAGTGTCAGCACTTAAAAGACAGGCCTACTTCTGGTCATGTTCAGGTGACTGAGTACAATCAAACACACGACTGCACACCTCTTAATAAAAGAAAACAAATGCAAAAAACAAATGCACTCCCACCAACATCATGTGCTTGTGACATGAATGATGGTGTGAAGAGACTTAAGAGGAGGAAGAACAGACTGCAGAGACGGTGCTAATATTTGTGGAGTGGCGTAAGAGCTGGGTAACAGACTGACTCACATGTTGCCATTGGTGTAGACGCCACTGTTTTCCTCCACATACTGAACCTGTGCAGGGTAAACATGCTGAACCTGTTGAACAGTCTGGGCCTGGCAATACAAAGTGCAAATTAATTATTTAATTGACACAAGTCACATATTGCACTGAGAAATCCAGCATGCACACTTGTCCAGGAACACTCGGACACAAATACACCCACAGACAGACTGGCTGGCTGTACCTGTTGCTGGACAGGCACCTGCTGGTTGGAGCCGGTGGGCTGGACAGGCACGGTGGTCTGAAGAGGGACAGTGGAGGTGGAGTCAGCGCCTGCCTCAGGTGTCTGCATGGCGCCTAAACAAGAAAGAGAAAACACAGTCTTACTATAGATAATGGTCACAATCACTGAAAACCAACAACACTCTCAAGCTACCGGTCAAACTGGAAAAGCAACTTTACAACTCAATAACAACATTAGAATCTTAATGCATCACTGAGCTAACGCTCGTGTGGCATCAAAGATTGATAACTCACTTAAACAAAGTCAGCTTACTACTATGGGTTTGTATTCTTCTGGTTGTTGAAAAAAAGACAGATTTACAATAGGCAAAGGACCTCAGATACACAGCTTTTTCTTTACCATATGATTTTATAACATCTGGTGAAATACTCAAATACTGAAATAAAATCAGTGCCACCAACCTCCAATAACTCAGCAAGTATAAACCTTATCCTTAACATGTGTCCAGAACATATTGCATTGAACAACAAAGAGACAAATCTATCAAATAACACAACAGAAGATTTGTATAGAGGAAACGTTTGGTTAGGTCAGGACATAAAATAGGCCTAAATGAGATACTAATCTAGGCATAATAGAAAACATGAGGCTTACTTTCACCACAGACCCTTGGCTGTTTTACCTAAATCAATGCTACTAAAGCTGCTCATGAGCAATTCTACCCAAGCACCTGTTTCTGCCTTGTGGTACTCAATGTACTGAGAGCCTCATGCATCAGTGACACATGGTCTTTTCTCAATGTTCACAGCCATAAAACAAGTTAATATTTAACAAACTCCAAATAGATGCTGCTTCCCGTTGCTCTGTCAGTTCCCATATTTACAGGTTTAGCGTTACTTGAGATTAGAAGTGCTGGATCAGTACTAAAAGGTACTAAAAACAATTGGCAATTTAATCCAATCTTTACCACATAAACGTCATTACTACTAATAAAATAATGAAATTGCGCATCAGAGATTTAAGACTACATCTTCAGTACTTGCTACCTAAGGGTAAAATGAACTTTTTGAATAAGGATAAGAAGAGACACTGATGGTTAACCTGTGTTTGTGAGTTAATAATAGTATGGCTACCATCACTCATTCCTTCCAGGGAAAGGCCAACTCCTCCCCATCACAGTTTCCATGAACAAGCCTCTCTTGGTTAATTAAGCTGGGTCTCCTAACAGCTTTCAATCTCTCCAGAGACAACCTGTCCCTTCCCTTTACCTTCAATATCATACTGGCCTTTTTCTTGGGATGAAGGCTATCACTGTATTCGCGCGCGTGTGTGTGTGGTGACGAACCTAAAAGTTGGACTACAAAGCTGAGTCAGTACTTCCCGGTGCACTGAGAGTGTGAGGAACAGTAAAGCAGTAGGAAAAAGCTGCATTTTATTTTACTATACAGGGGCACTGAGATTCATTAATGTACAGCCTTATGCTTTCAGCATGACTATTTTCAACACCTTAGGGAGGGGGATATGTATATATACTATCACTGTCAGACATGTCAGCAGGCTGTTGCTAGACAGACTGGCTCGTGGAAAAATAAGCTATCCAGTTCAAATATTTATTCTGTGATTTCGACGAGAAACTGTAATGACCATAAATTCATAAGCAATGAAACCTGACTACACATATGATTAATATACTACGACACAGTGTGGAAGTGTGAAAGCCATTGGATGCAGGCGACCAAAGTGATAAAAGTGTCAAACTGTAGCCTTCAGCTTACTGTATCCCAATGCTAAATAAAGGACTTGTGAGGAGAGGAGAATGTAGACTTATATTTCACAGTGCAGTTTGAAAGCTAAAGTACATGGCTCCAACTGAGCCCACCTAATCGAGGAAAAGAGCCCCTGCATCACAACACACTCGTGTTGCCTCACACCAACCCCCTCCCCACACACCCACACCCACACACACACACACACACAATAATACACCTCCTGCCTCACCATTCAGGCACTCCCTTGTGGCCCACTTAAATGCTGTGCTCCACTGAGCAAGTGCAAGCCCCTACAAAGACACAGAGGAACAAAAGCCACCAAGGAGGGCAACATTTTGCCCTGCGTTTTCTCTCCTCAATTCCTCTTGCCAACATTACAAGCATATAGTAAAGAGTACACAGTTCACAGCCACAGCTACCAGAAAATACATAGAACCATAATTTGCTTCTCTAATGATCATGTGTGATAAAGGTGGAGTCTGAAGCACCAAGTTAAGAAATACAAGCTGGTGAGTGAAGTTGAAAAGTACACCATACACAAAATCTCTCCCTCTCACACACATACAGTACAAACCCAAGGTAAGACAGAGGCATGATCTGGTGCTAGTACAGCAGGAAAACAGGTGGAGGGAGATGTAACAGGAAGCTGAAGTGGGGGGAGGTATGCAAAGTGCTGTGTTTGTTTAGGAGTTGGGTTTTCAGATTGTAAAGAAAACTGGGAGTGACTTATATTTGTAAGGACTGCTGATGTTGATTTGGATGTCAAAAACACAATGCATCAAAATATGGGTTAGATGTGCCAAAAGCTATTGTTCAACATTTGATCTGATTTTAGGTCATGACAGGATGAGTGGAAATGGAAAAAGAAATGTCATATGAGCCAACATTTCTTAAAGCATCATGGCATATGTTACCAAGTCTAAATGTACTCTGTTCATCCCAATTGCCAGATGTTGGTTTACGACCTTTAGGTCTCCTCTTTCATCAACAATATACATTATTTCTGATGGACAAATAACAAACCAAACATTCTGTATTTTGCTAAGCCATGAAAATGGATGACTGAATAATTGAATTAATCAGCCCCACTTTAAGTGATTGGAAATGTAACAGGATCCAGGCAGCAGGTGGCATGGTACTATTTCTGCGCTACCGGACTACAGGTGAGTGGTAACATGATCTGATAACTAACAGTTCCAAATATCCTATTTGTGTGTGTGTGTGTGTGTGTATTGGGATATGTATCTGTGTAGGACCTATTTTGGGTTGTATATGTCACAGTTTGCATACAAATTGTACCATTGGTATTTTGGTTTGCATTGCTCTAACTCTGTCAAGATGAGGGTCTAAGGATAGAGGGTGCCGTATGCTGTACAGATTGTAAAGCCCCCTGAGGCAAACTTGTGATATTGGGCTATAGAAATAAAATTTACTTGACAGGTTTTCTCATATAATAGACTTACCACATGAGCAGTTACATACAGTATACATGGTTCACAAGTAACAACCACTTGAAAAGAAAACCAAATTCTAGGGATGATGATGGACAATCACATTTAATCTACTGCTGATAATCTTTTCTGTGGTGGACACGTACAGATATATTAGGCCTAGATGGTCAGGAGTCCCACACTTACTAGAGGTGCACCTGTCCTCCACTCACCTCACCACACTCATCTGTTTTCTCCCCTAACGGGAATCAGAGGTCGCAGCTGCACAGGAGACCCAGTGGACCCAAGAATAATTGTGATGTAACATTAAGAAACCAAGTCTCTACTTGTCAGAACCACCCACAGGATTAAGGAATCCTAAAATGCAAGTTTGATTCTATGGGGAGGAAAGGAAATATAGCAAGCATATTTCACTGAAATAGATGTGACTGAATGTTTTATGCAATTTAAGTGGGCCTAAAATCAATCAGGCAAAATATTAGGATGTTCACTCACGACTAAGCATCTTTGCCTTGTAGTGTCATGCTGGATTGAATACACTCCCTCTCCTCCCCTTTCTTGCGCACACAGGGAAATTCACGCACACATATAACAAACATAAAAAATGTAATATTTTAACCGTTAGTCAATAACTCTGGAGTATATTTGAATTGCAGAAGGGGTGGGTAAATATTGGCGTTAACGTTACCAGCCCAATTACAGAACGTGCAATGCAAGAAAACAAAATAATTTCTGATAAAAATGGGAAGTAACGTTAAGCTATTTATTGTTAATAGGACAGGTGTTTTTCCCCCTCAAAGCTTGATCACTGCAAGCCTTGTGTTATTACATAGCTTCTCATAGCCATCTTATGCCACAAAGAGGGCAGATGGAAAGCTAGCGAAGCTATCTTGCTCCCTAAGACAAAAGGGAAAGTAATCGCTTAGCTATTGTCAATAGCAGTTAGTGTATGAAAATCTCACAGCACTTTCCATTGCTGATCGACGTTGTTGACTTTGAATGACCAATAAGATTTGAACGACCCGAAAGACAAACTTGCAATACCGTAGCCCTCAAAAAAGGGGGGATACCAACAGGCATTGTAAGAAGGCAACGCTGGCGTTAGCAACCTAGCAACAACAGACACCTGCTCCTGCTCCAGCTGACCAGCTAGCATCAGTGACTAGCCCAGACCCATGCTACCACTCAGCATGGTAAGTTTAAACAAACAAGTTACACGCAAATTAGCACGTTTAGGTCACTTTTAGCCACAAAGCACACTGTGAGAGTACATAGCTAGCTTCAGCTAGCGAGGAGGACCTCTCACAGCTGTGGGCATCTACAGGCAACGTTAGCAAGCAAGCTACCACGTCACAAAGAAACACCCTCGCTAGCAAACTACCCCAGCTATTCACCGAGCCTTCATTCAGCAGCAGACACAACATGAACCACAGCATTAACATCTCCTTTATAAAGCCATCCCTGGAAGCGAGGGACAGACCTAAATTCGGGCTGAAATATAATAAAATATGTGTTCAAACCTGAGCTGTGGACTGGTTGATGAGATGAGGATGGTGGAGGAGGTGGTAATGATGGAGCGAGAGGTTGTTGTTGGTGGGTTACAGTCGCCAGGACTACGGTGACTATGGCGCTGCCTCACTGGGCAACAGTTGCTATAAAACTCACCGGGAGCGCGCAGCCTCATAGTCAGGTGGGAGGAGATTACAGCGCAATGAACGCAGTCTGCGCAAATAACATATGTATTTGAGTATATTGGAAATATGTTTCTAGGCTGGCTATTCAACCCAAGCACATGCGTTTGGAGTGATTTATGTGGAGAATCCTAACCTTTCAATATGCCAGGAATGAATGAACATGTTATGGCATGTTGAAATAAAGTCAGAAATTTGTTTATTTTATGGTCAAGTGGTGGGGACAGATTTGGGGTGTGACGATACACTTTACGAGAACAAGAACTGAAGATATTTTAACACTATTTTGAATTTATTTTTTTTACTTTCATTAATTTACTGCATTCTGGAGACATTTTCTGCACCACTGTATGGTGTAGGCCTAAATGTCTTTATTTATATAAAAGGAAATACAAAATTCAGATGGCAGGTGACAATTCCAAATATATAGGCTTTTTTGGACAATGTTTCTTCTACATTTAGATTGCATTGCATGTTTTCTTATTGTTCAAATAAACCTTTCTCAAAGCATTTTCATTGCTGTATTTCAATTCAATTCAGTTTTATTTATATTGCGCCAAATCACAACAACATTTATCTCATAGCACTTTTCATATAGAGCAGGTCTAGACCGTACTCTGATATTGTAGAACCCAACAATTCCCACCAAGAGCAAGCACTAGGCAACAGAGGCAAGGAAAAACTTTCTTTTAAGAGGTCTGCCTGGCTCAGGATGGGCGGCCATCTGCCTCTACCGGTTGGGGGTGAGAGAGAGAGAAAGAGAGAGGGGGGGGGGGGGGGGGGGGGCATAAAGAGGGAGAGAGGGAGGGATATGTGGGGTGGGTGGGGGTAGGGGGGGGCAGCCTACACAATATACACACAGAGGTACAGAGAGTAAAGGTAATGTTGGTACAGACTGAATGAATAATGGTACAGATATTTATAGTAATGTAAATGATAATAACAATAATAACAATAATAACAATATGATTAGTAACACTAATTGTAGCAGAGGGTGTTGAGCAGGAACATGGGGTCAGCAGGTGACCCGGAACCACAGATCCAGAGCCAGAAACACCTGCAGAAAGTGATAGGAGGAGAGAGAGGAGGGATGAGAAAGCACAAGACTACAGGAAAGAGAAGATGTGAAGTTAGTAACATGCATTAATGGGATGAAGTTGCATACAGAGGGAGAGAAAGAGGAGGAGAGAGGACCTCAGTGCATCATGGGAAGTCCCTCGGCAGTCTAGGCCTATAGCAGCATAACTAAAGGATGGTTCAGGACTCACCTGAGCCAGCCCTAACTATAAGCTTTATCAAAGAGGAAAGTATTAAGCCTACTCTTAAATGTGGAGATGGTGTCTGCCTCCTGTTACTCTGAATGGCATCACCCTGTCCTCCAGCACCATTGCAAGGAGTTATCTTTGATCAGACCTAATAATATTTTCAAATCAATCTGGGGGGCTCCAAACAGTTCCAAGTGAAGGGAAAAAAATTACATTAGTTATCAAAAGGAGATCTCATAGAATATCCTAAATGTGTGTGAGTTGGTTAAAGAGATGGTTCACAGATATCATAGTTTGGGGGAATTTTACTTTCCATGAGTCAGAAACAGTAAATGCCACAGGACAGACCTCTTTTTAGGTATTTGGTGTCTGAAGTTATGTCAAACAGCAATATCTTGGCTCAATTGTTGAGTGTCTGTGGCACCAAGTAACATAATCATGATCCCTTAGACATGTAGGACTTAGCAAGTCTTGTTTTCCTTTACTGATGCCCTTAAGTTTTATAAACACCCAAACCCGATCCAGGAACTTCATAATGTAGGCAATCATTTTGGTTTGAAGCAACACTACTTTATTTTCATACCGTCATAATTATGATTATGCCCATACACATGTTGTCTGTACAGTGGTGATTGTGCTTCTAAGATTATTTAATTTATATGTATAGATATATGCTTAAACTGTAAGATTCTATTTAGTTTTAGGTTTAGATATGGTTTACTACAGTGTTATTTGGACACAGTAGGTTACAGGCATCAAGTCTTGCCTCAGAGGGCAAAATCTGCACCTAAAGCTACTGTGTTAACCAATTAGTCTTTGTCTCAGCCTCAGCAACATCTGGGTGTTGCATTTTCATTTGTCTTTCTCCAGTATAATGAACAACTCAGTTTGCCACTGAGATGTGTTTCACTTGACATTCACTTTTTAAGTTCAGAAAATCATCAAAATTGAAAAAAAAAAAGCATTTAGCATTGAACTACTCACACCTACTGGTATTTAAAGCATTGTTTTAACAGTTTGAAATACAGTTGGCCGTGATCCATTTGCGTTCATTAAGACATGCATGATAAAAAAAAAAAAATCTTTTCTCTTTTTTCCTCTCTCAGATTTGAGAGCTGAGCAGATTTCACACAATTTTGCCCATATGAAAAATTGGTGGTATTACATCAAATTAGCGCTGACTGATTGATTGCCTTGTTATACATCACATTGTTAGTGTGAATTTGTAACCGCAAGCAGATAATGCACAGTATTCACCATACCAGATAGCTTGATGGGCCAAGGGTGAATGCCATTCTATTGTGTTGTATTTATTAAACATCATATTGCATTTTCTTTTTTTACCAGTAGGTATTTTCCCCGTCCTACTTTCTTATTGGAAAGTTAACCCCTCCTAATGAATGCGTCTTTCTTCCCAAACAATTAAATATTGCCATTGTACAGAATACCTGACCATGTTAACAACTGCCTTAGGGCTTTTGAATTAAAATGAATTTCCTACTTTGATAGTCAACCTGGGTCTCATCTTTGTGGCATTTGGAACAAACAATATGTTGTTGTTGCAGTCAAAGCTGGACCTTCACAAGAAATTATTGTCAGTAATATTTGAGCCTTCAGTTTTTGCAACACCACTTAGATAGATATCTATCACGCATGGTAAGTTTTAACTTTATAAGTTAAAATATTTTACCATATAGCAGAAGTAGGGCTAAAAACATGCAGAACTTTTTAATAAGGAACAGTGACCAAACAAATCCAGCATTGTTAAGAGGCTTCCTACTGCATACAAAGCTTAACCAACCACCTGTGTCCACTGCGCAGCACTTTTTTGGTTAGCAGTAATAAACAGATGCTTTTTGGAAAAGCTGTTGTTGTTGCTAAGCAACTACTGAAACCCCCATCTAAAGCATGACACTCTTTTGCTAAAAGAATTATTTTCAAGTAATACAGTTTGTCCTTTCAATTTCAAACAATAAAAATACACTGCTGTGAAGACTGGTCCCTGCTGAACCTCTGGCTTATCATACTTTTCAGTGGTTGCTAATTATTTCTGTAATTTACATTAGCTTATCACCTTTAGAATTAGTATTTATACATTAGTATTTTAATTATTTGTATTGCTGCCACAAAGTAGCTACTCTCTTGTGCATATGAACTTTGTCTTGTTTTGTTCAATGCAAATAGAGATACAGATTCTGACTCAGAAAATGTGATTTATAGAGTAAAAAGTAAAGCTGCTGCCTTATCAACAAAAACATTTATAGAAATCCACACGGACTCTCCAAACACAAACTATTTGTTGCATTATTTTTGACAGCTGTAAAGATAGAATGTCATTGGCCTTGCTCTTGAGCGGTAGAACAACAGACTATTTAAAAAATTTAAAAGTCATGAATTAACCCTTCCAGGCTTCCTTACATTTTTTTTAGAATTTGTGAAATTGATAGCTGTTGAGTCTCATGGCTCTTTCACGTGTATATCTTTTGTGTTCTTCATGATCTGTGAGGTGAGCTTTTAATAATAAAATTAGCCATGAACGGATCCACAAGAGAGTTTGGTGAATTTTAGTGAGAGACACAGGGTTTGACAAATGACAAACAAGAGCACAAATGATTTACTTCTTTTTCTTCCATTCCATTTTCAAAAGTAACATTATCACAGCAGCATTTTTGTACATTTTAGCCCATTTACTACAAATCAGGTTTACTTTACATTGCTGCTGATCATTTTTCTCAGCTTTCTATCCCCATGGTAATTTTACTACACAACAACAACAAAAAAAATTGCAGACTTCAAATTTGCTTTTGTGTTATGGTTCCATGGTAAGTCAGCTGGCTCAGAATGGCTCTAGGAAAACAGGTTAAAAAATGTACAGCACTGTACAATGCTTTCAAAAAGGGTCAAGTGCAATGTGAAGTGTAAGTCATTTGCAGTAAATAAACTAAAACATTTAAAATCACTGGTATGGTCACCAATATGAATCTGCCTCATGATAGGCACAGGAGCACTTATATCAGATTACTATATTCCAAAAACATTTTATGTCTATGAACATTACAATGAAAGGGTAAGGTTGTCTTGTTACTATAGTTACAAAGCCGTGGTTCTAAGAAAAACCTTAATAAATTATCCATTGCATACTTTGCTTTGATTGCAGTGTTGAATATTGCGCACAATGTCACCAGAAACTACTTGAACTGCTTACTACATGTTATACACAAGCTGCGTAAAAACTAAGAAAGTAAACATTGAAATCTGTAGGCTCATTCATTAATACATTGATTGTGGAGGCAGAAGCCAGAACGTTCAGTCAAATAGTACATTTGTAGAGATTTGGCTGAAGAGAGAGCGAAAGAGAGAGCAAAACTGAGAATGTAAGAATTGATACATTCAATGTTATCTAACAAAGGGAGAAGCATTTTAGATTGTTTTATAATCAAATGTCCTTTTATTTGGCTAAATGAAACTGCTGCCAGGTTGCATTGCCATCAAAGGTGTTCTTGCTATAATGACCATTCGACTTAAATGGAGCGGTGACGTAAAACAGCGCAAAGGAACAAAAGCCGCAATTGAGAAAATATCATTTCTCTGTGTAGATGCTGGAGACCTGGCTTGTGCATTGGTCCACCATGCTGAAGAAATCCCCTTCATGCAATTCTTGATTAGGAGTCATATTCTGTGCTTGGCTGTGGACATCATACCCTGCAGATGCACCCATGCCCCCCCCCCCCCCCCCCCCAATACACACACAAAACACACACAGAAATACACAGATGCATGTATGCACAGTGAGAGTTGTGAAATCCAATGATAATATATTGCTCATCCTCAAGTAATTTTGTTTAGACAGTATTACCTGTAATGCGGGAAAGAGCTGTTTGTAAGGTGGTCACCCCATTGGGATTATTGACTGTTGGAGGGAGGCTGTCACCAAAGGCATCATCTTGCATCAGGTGACTCGATCTGGTCTGTGCTGTGATCCCACCATATTGTGGAGGAGAATATAGCATCTTCATCTGCCCTGAGAGCTCTACAGGGCAAATGAGAAAGCGTCATTCTTTTTCCTTTTTGCAAAAAACAACTCAGTTAAAGTCTATAGCTCTACTGGTGGGGTATGCGATTCTAATCCAATACATCTTTTTTGTCAAATTCAGCAAAAACGGTCTGCTAGCTGTCTGTTCTGTGTGGGTTGAAAAACAAATCTAGTGTTTGTACACAGCCCTGGCTCTTTAAATGGAGAACAAATAAAGTGGTTCGGGCGGAGCTACTATTCCAGTCAACCCGTCAACTTAGCTAACACTAGTAACATTATTTGCTGTGTCGTTGTTCGCTCTATATCATGGTATTTGTCATTGTATTGTATTTTTCCAGAATCGCATACTGTACCTTTAAATTATACATTCCAGTTGAAAAGCAACACTGGACCCCATAAATGAAAATAACTGTGCATTTCAGTAATTTTGCATCCTGTCTTTATCTCAGCAGTTGAAACTAAATTGTGCGTTTCTGAACACATTGTCAACATCACTGTGGCTGGCAATTCCGAGGGGAAATGAGGTGATATCTATTTTAAGGTACATAGTGGGAGCTGGCTGATACTAACTAGAAAATCATCACCAGCCACCTGCTACACATCATAAAAAGATACTGCACAATTAATGTGAGAAAATCTGTTGAAACAGAGAGTGAAACAGCCCAGGCATTTGCTAATAGGCTCTTCAGATGTGAAACTTGCACTATAGACCTTTTACCTAGGAACCTCCCCTTCTGCACAACTGTGTTTACATCTATTTGACAAACCTTAGGAATACACTGGTGATAAACCTCTGAGTACCTGGAGTGTGGTCTGCTAGATCAGGAGGCTGGCGTGGCTGCTTCAGATCTCGGTTGTTCTGCAGGGACGTCCCATTGGGAGGATGTGGGAGGCAGGAGGAGGAGCAAGGCCCATGCTGGTCCCCGAGGAAGAGCTGGTGAGGGGAAGGATCAACAAACCTGAAATATTTCAGACTGAATTAAATACTCTGTTTGTGGAATTAAGAAAAAGAACAATATATATTTTTATTATTAATCCTTTTATTATTATTATTTATTAATTATTTATCCTTGTACAGTTTCTAAAACAATTGACATGCAATTAAGAATATAGAAAATCTTGTTTTGAGGTGTTTCAAAACAATTGTATGGTAATTTTGAGGCTGGATACCATTAACCTGTAAGGTGTATCTAATATTTGAAAAATAAAAATATTTCTAAATAGTTCTTACATGTTAAAAATTATTACCCACTGAATGGAATTAAGGATTGCTGTATGTTTTGTAAGGTTTTAAAGAGACATTTTTTTGGCGGGGGTACTGTACTGAAATGCAATACATTCTGACATAGGTGTCATCTTTGTTGGGTCCATCCTCCATGTTATATATTATTCAGTGTATGATATTTTCCTTCAAAAATAAGTAAGACACAATGTTATGCAGTTTGTATAAATCTGTATGTAATGATATCAGTGTACGTAAAAAATTGTAGATGTCAAACACTAAAGAAATCAAACATCTAAAATCACATGCTGCATTATCCTTCAACCACCCATAAAATTAGAACTGTGCTTTAACAAACAACTGTAATTTACTTGCACACAAATGCATGATAACCATTTAGCCTGCAAATTAATTAATTAAGTAATCCTTCATGAGGTAAGGACAAGGTGACAGTTTCACACATTCTGTGTATGTTTGACACAGACTTTGGCAAGCATTGTGTCCACAACCATTCACATGAGGTGAAACTGTCATCTTCTTTGATTGTCTCTAGGCAGTCCTTCACTCGCTTTAATTACACAGATAAGATGGAAAACATGGCACTATTTGAAATAACCTTAAGAGAATGCAGAAAGCTCTCTCTTTTAGCTCAAAAGGTTCAATATTTACTTCATCCATGTAATGAGGAAAGAATATCTGCCTTCATGGATTTCTCTGCCTCAATTCCTTAGCATGGTGGCTTCCCACACTGCTGATTTAACCCTCAAGTTTCTGCATGGTGGAGCGATGGAGAGACAGACTGCACTCCACGTAGGATGTTTTCTGTTTAAACAGAATTTAAAAGCATATCAATTATTTAAGCATATATGCTATTTGTAATAATTCAGGAAAAATTTTCCATTGCAGGTGTTTCGGTTATCGAGCTCATGACTACAATTGTGATTCTCTGTGCTTGGCACTTAAAATAAGTAGCAACAGAGGCTCTCAAGAACTTTATTTGTATTACTGTCTGTACTCTATACACTGTAGTCTGTGCGTCACAAGCTCATTCATAGAATTTTCCATCATAAGAGTGCAAGTCTATGCCCGAAGTTTGTTCCAACATCACTATTTTACATAGAGAGTACATCAAGACTTCTTCTTCTTTAATGTAATCAGCTAAAACAGAAAAACTTCATTTCACTTCAATGAATATCATTTTTTTCTGGGTAGTATTGGTTTTCACACCTACAGTAAATCATTACCTTTATTTTTATACCTCTGTTGCTCATTGTTACAACTAAGAAAATCAGTCACTTTATTCCTAGATTCATGTCAGTCTTTGTTAAATACATGGGGTTAAACTAGTCAATTTAAATAGTGTCCAGTGGCCATGGCAGCTGAGACCCCTGCTGTTAGGTTTGACCAAGAAACACATTTGCAAGAATGTTAAAGGAGCCAGAGCTTCCTGACAATATACATGGACTGAATGGGAACCAAAAGGAATCCCAGAAAAGTGTACAGAAAATGGCAACAAGGATTTTACAATCAATTTAACATCTAAAAAGTAATTACAGGGTCTCTCCTCTCCCACTGGACTTTTAAATGGTATTTCTTTTAGATTTTATGATTCACTTATTGAATTCCTTAGCTGCTCTTGTCGGTGGCTATAGCATCCATTAATACCATGAGTCGAGACCAATGAGGCAAGGCAAGGTCTGCTTTCACAGGCCAATTGTCTACCCAGAATCCTGCAGTGAATGCTGTGGCCTACCGCTGATATGAGAACAATCACAGCCAGTGAGGAGCCATGAGCATCTGGCTGCTCAGAACGACAGAAATACTTGATCACATGCTTTGAAGTGTATAGATAAAGGGAGGTTTTCCTATGGGTTGACCAGTGAAATGTGTTGCAGGCCATCCTCAACCTGTAAACCCTTTTCCCAGCCATAGCACCCATGTACCCACCGCCCCACACACAAATAAACAAAACAAAATCAAACACAAAACAAAACAAAAAAACCCTTTAGGGTGCAAAATAAGTGCTTCCTTTTAAACTGATTATTCTAATTATGAGCTTATAGTCTTGAAGCCATGGTAACCAATGTTTAAGTTGACTGTTTTAGATCATCAGAAGGGAGTAAAAGGATTTGTGAATCATTTAAATCAGTCGTGGCACACAGAAAGAACAGTTGGCTTGCTGAGTACAGTTGGATTCGTTCTTTTGGTTTTGAATGGTAATGTGCACGTTAACACAGTAAGCATTTACATTACCACGAGAGGGTTTTAATGACTTTTTCCTTCAAAAATGTATTTTTTGCCAAAGATTGCTTCCATATCATTCCAAATATAAAAGAGACCCAACACAATAACACAAAAGTCCTCAGTACCTGTAGTCATCTTGTAAGGAGCACAACAGAGCCAGGTGAGGACTGCTGGAGGAGTCTTGTCCCTGTGGAGCAGCTGAGGAACAGGGATGACAGACACTTCAGGGCTGTCCACCACAGCCTAAATCTAATGGATAAACCTATTATGTGCACATGGTTGCAGGGGGATATGCTTAAGTATCTAATGTTCATATCAAACATTTTACTGCAAAGAGCCAGGGTTTAGACATACCAGAGTATGACTCATGAGATGCACAAGGGTTTTTCAAGTTGTTGTCTTTCCTTGCCAGAGGAGAAAGGCTTAGTTGCAGAGGATGGATGGTTAAACAGTCTGTCAGAGTGTCCTGGGTCACACCAGCAGTGGATTTCATCTAGAGAAACGCCACATGATACATAAACAGTAGTGAACAGCATTTAAAGTAATGGAATTCTGGCAGAAGGACGGTGGTAAAACCGTAATAGTTTTATCTACAGGATTACTTTTGCAACTCATTTATAATGAATAGAGCACCTTGTGCCTTTTTGCTTTGTTATGGTGCACTTATATATATTGCTGTTATTTGGATGTTTTTGGATTAGCCCGGTACAACTACCAAGTACCTTTAAGTCTTTAGCATCTGACTTTATCATCATGCTGTCACAGTTTTGTTCTGTTTTAGTCTGTGTCCAGCTTTGTTCCTAATTGTCCTGGTTGCTGCTAATGTGTTTCACCTGTTTGTGCCCTCCCTGCTTATTTGTCCTGTATATATGTGCTCAGGTCTGTTTTGCCCTGGTCAATTCATTGTCACTCCTGCCTTGCATATCTGCCTGAAATCCTTGTCTGTCTGTCTGTATGTTTGTTACCTGTGAAGTCTGGATTTTGATTCTCACCTGCCTTTAAGTTTGGAATATTGTTTTGCTTTTGTATATGGACTTTCGAGTGTTTTGCCCTTGCTTTGTTTGGAGAATTACTGTAGTTTGGAACTGCATTCTGGGCTTTCCTTGAATTTCTTAAGTTTGTACACTTTGTTTTATACATTTTGAAACTAAGCCTGCTATTTTATCATTTGGGCCCAAAACCTGTAGTACGCTTGGCAATTCTGACACATGCTTCCTCTGGCAGGTCACTGTGAGAGAATTAATCTTATCAAAATCAAACAAAACATACTAAAATCGATTAAAACAGAATCTGGAAACCTTCATAGTATCAAACATTGAGTTTAATATGATAAAGAACTAGTTTGCTACCATCAGAACTATAAAGTTAAACAAGAAACAACCAATGGATACGTACAGTACCTGGGTTGTTCTAAATTAGTATTTTGCAGTAGTCTTTATGAGTCAAATCAAAATTACTGTACAATAAACATTTGAGTTTTAGATGAAAAAAGTTGTGCATGTAGAATCCTTTGTAAAATGTCACTTTTTTTAGTAACTGCCCACCTTCTTTGTCTGTATCTATGGTGACATCACACTCAGTAAGAGTTAAAGAGCATAAAGCTCTCACACAGAAGCAAAAATCTCAATCTGAGTAAGTGAAACACTGCGGTGCCATAATGTGAATCTTTGTGATGGAGTCACCGTAAGTGGAAAATAAAGGGGGTGAAAACAGGAAAAACATGTGACAAACAACATAATTATGTGTATTATTGTTTGACTAAGCTCTATCAGTGTTAACACAAGTGGATGTATAAGCTGGCTCGCTGGATGTTTGCATCTGACTGAAAGTTAAAGTACATAACATGTTTCTGTTAACAATTTGAACAGAGTGGGTGGAGAACACATCACAAAGAGTATATACTCAATACTGTCAGTTAATGTGAACAAATGAAAGCACAATGAAAGGAGCTACAGTTTATGACATGTATTAACATAGCTTTTCTTTTGTTCATGGTTGTAATGTTCACTAATCACTAATACAATTTAGTCAAGAAGGTTATTATGACTGAAACCTGGAGTCAACAAATTTAGCACACAGTTTACATTGAGTTCTGCACTTGATATATGATTTCTCAGTAAAATACATTCTCAAGATCATTAGTCTTTGTTCTCAGCATGCACTGTAGTTTGTACCTTCTTCCGTAACTGTCGTTCTTTAGTAGAGTGGGATTTCACATGTTTCCTCAAGGAGCTGGGATCAGTGTAACGCTTTGCGCAGCCAGGCACCTGGCACGTATATGGCTTCTGTACAACCACAGACATATGAAAACTTGTAGGACTCCACATAGAGGCAAAGACACACACACACACACACAAGCTTAGAATTACCATCCATAATTGTACGTGTCTGTGCATGGCTGCCACTTACTGTTTCCAGGTGTGTACGCTGGTGTTTAGCTCTGTCACTTGAGTTGCTGAAGGCCTTGTGACATCCTGGGTGCTGACACAGGTAGGGTTTCTCCCCCGTGTGGCTACGCAGGTGGATCTTCAGATTTTCTAGCCGAGAGAAAGCCTTCTTGCAGCCCTCGAACTGTAAACGCATACAAACACAGTAAAAGTAGTCCAAGTAGTTCATTGCCATTAGGCTGCCACAGATTAGGAGTGTTAGTCATTCATTTTCAGTCCTTAATGTTTTGGCTGTTGGCTTCAACATAAATCACGTCAATTTAAGCTCTACAAACGTCTCTAACCTGATGTTGCCCATATACACGGAGCTACGAGTTTCTGAGCTGGAAATCATTGCATACAAAGTCCTGCTGACCTCAGTGTGTGGGAGGGAGTGAAAAAGAAAATATAGTAAACCATATGAATAGAAAATTTTATAATTTAGTCTCAACTGACACTCAAGTAAGCCATAACTGCTCACTGCAACAGTAGTTTCATGGTTGACAGGCTCGCTTAATGAGTCATCATTGGGCGAGCATACATTATAGTCATGATCCTGCTCTCTTCTAATTCTTTGGAGTTTAATATCAATAAGTCAGAATTAGTCTAAATGCATTGTACATAGGCACAAACATGGTATAAATAACTTATATGGTTCATTTTCAGCTAATTTCTTTTTCTTTACTGTTTTTAAAAAAGTCCAAAGGATTTGAGTTTTTTTTTTACTCCAAAATATACTTACATTTTTAAAACAATCTTCACACAAATGTCATATTTTAAGCAATCTGATGGTTGTGTGTGTCACCAGCAGGGGTCAGTGTTTATACACACATCACTGCATTGTCTTATGTGTTTAGAATCCTTCATCTTGCATCACCTTGACAGTGGTTGGTAGTTACCAGTTACAAAAAAGTAAAGGCACTTTTAGTAGACTATTCTTAATACATTTACAGCAAAACTCAGACAGAAGAATGACTACATTATATATCTAACAGCATCATACACATGGAATTGCACTTTTTGGGCTTCAGGAAAATTCTAATACCTCCAACCAAACAGCTTTGTTGCAGTATCATGCGACCACAGTGACTTCACTACTAAACTATGTGAATAATCAAAGCTTTTCTTGTGTAAGTCCAGGACTTTACTCTCCCTCTTCCTGTCCACAGGGGGTTTGGAATGTCCTTACTAAGCCTTATGGAGGAAACACACAGACCATGTCCAGTTTTGTTATTTTTTCTCTAAGACTCTCAGTCATCACTGCCAAAGCCAATTTAAAATGTTTTTTGCTTCCCATTAATAGTTTACTAATAACATTCCTCTGCATTCCACATAGAAATACTTCTTCCGTTCTTTCTCATTATAGCACAGCCATTTTCTGACAACATCTATTCTCAAAAACTAAAACGAGCCCATGCTTCTGTAATTGAACTTGAAAATCAATAATTTTCACCTCACTTATAGCAAAACTTTGTTTGAAGCAAAGCTTTTGTTACAATTCAATGTTATAACAATCATTTTTTAAATGTTAAATGGAGGGTGGTTGTATTGTGGAAATTTTATGAAAGCACAAGGTCAAGGTTCACAGCGCTGATTGGGAAGAATTCTTAACATTTTGTCAAAGCAAATAGACTAAATTGGAAACCGAACAAAACAGTACAGTAGCACACAATGAGAAATGCTCTTCTCTCAGACACTCTTTCCAATTTTGTTCTATTAATGAAAGTGCACCAACTCCGATTATCTTGATTAAAGATAAAAATTAACAACAGACCTCTAAGCCAGAGTATCACAAGAAAAACAGGACAGACAGAGATAAATAGTCTCAGTGAGAACCAGCATAAAGCTAAAATACTGCCAACACTCCAGGACTAGCCAGGGGTGGGTAACTGTGTAACTCTCTCTCTTTCTGTCTCATGAAGCTCTTATGAAGCGCAAAGGGTTTTTAGTTTGTAGCAAGGGACGTTTGTGCTGAAAAGAAAGCAGCATGGCTCCTCAGTGTAGATCAGTGTTACCGCCAGCTTCTGACGGGTCCTGGTAGGAATTCATGCCCTGGCTGAACAATGACAGCTGCAGTCTGTGCCAGCAGAGTCTGTCCAGTGCCCAGTCTTACTCTGAGGTCAATTCATTCTAGACTCCACTCTTCCCTGTTTGTTTCACCTGTGATATTTCTACCTTCTTTTTGTTTCACCTGTTTCGTTACACTGTATATTTTTTGCTTTTCAGTGCATGTCTCCATTGTTTGTAAATTCCTGAAGGCACATTATATGAGAAATAATGGTTTTGCTACAATTAAATGTTGGACAAAAAGATATAATGTTAACAGAAAACAACAAAGAACAGTAATATGAACCTTCTAAAAAATATACTGTCATCATATCAAAATTTTAGAAGACACTTTGAGGGACTTTTCATGAAACGGAGGATGGGGTTTAGATTTCTGGATCAATAAATGGCTACAATATTCTGTAATAGGACATATATATTATTGTGTTTTAACACTATAAGAATTATACTAAATTACTGCAATTATCTCCAGGCTGTGATCATTTTTTTTTTTAGCAGCAACATGATTTTCTTTTGTTTTTTTAAGTTTGCAATGGAACAAAATCCTTTACGTTTACTAATGCAGAATGATGCCAGATGCTATAATGCGCAAATGTAGTTGAGGCACTAATGCATAATTTCCAAGCACCAAAACCTAGTTCCCTCCAAACAATTGTAAGGATGGCGCTTAAAATGTTGTCAAACCTGAAATCTTATTAGGCCTGCCTTCTGTGATATTAGCAAGGCTTGAATTACAAGCCGCTTATGTAGGGAAATGTAGTGGATTAGCAAGGATGGTGTGAAATGGTTTCATTTTCACTCTATGAAAAGACTGATTGATCACAGCATGAATAATGCATGCTGACAGTAGATTAAGTACATTTTGGGCAACCAATAATGGATGCTCATTGGTGTTAATTATTGTTTTAAAAATCAGCAAAAATAATAACACAATTAGTTACTTAGTTGTTATGGCTGAAATTAATTGAGTGGAATATTCAGTGTTGGAGTGGTAGTAGAAAACATGGCAGCCACAATCTACAAGCTAATAATTCCAAATCATTTCTCGACTACCTGAGGAGCAATTAGCAAAATGGTAACAGCAAAAATCAAAGTGAATGTGTTGACTCACAATGTTGAAATATCTTATTTGGGTTTTTCTACTTTTGAAATCTCATATGTTTAGATTTGAGTGTCAGACGCAAATAGACTGTTAAGTCAAGGATTTGCTAACAAACTGTTGAATGTCATTAAACAGATTGTGAGATGACAGGTACAAGCCTGACCATGCCTTAGCGTGTATGTTCACTGTGTAACATGAGCTACCTTATTGTTAGGCTGCTGGCTCGCACTTCATTTATCACACATCAGTTTATTCATCTGCCAATCATTTCCTAGGAAAAAGTGAGTGCTACATTTTGAACAATTGTATAATTTGAAAGGTGGGCTCTTCCAAGAGAAGTTAACTTTCTCCAAATGGTGCTTTTAGCTATTCTAACTGTTCTGTGAGATTCACCTGTAGTTTAATCTACTTTAAATGAGTTTAACCTATCATTTAAGCATAACTTTTCAATCTCAGAGGGAGTAGAAGAAATCAAATGCACAGGCTCATGCTCAGGCATATGAAAATGTTCAAGTAAAGACAGGAAAAGCCTGCACTCTTGACATTATGTTCAGAGTTGACCTGAAGAAAATCCACACGGAAACAAAATCTCTCATTAAAGCCCAGGAACGATAAGTGCTGGCATTTTCTCTCTTTACTCAGTCTTAGCCTGTACTATAATTACTGTACCACAAACACAAGTGCCACTTTGTATCATTTCTGTTTTTGGCAAAGGGCTGTGACCAGGAATACTTTCTTCATTATTAAATGACTACATGGAACTCAGACTCTTCCAGTGATTGCAGCCCCATGGCAACAGAGCGAGCTTCAACTAATAAGTGAGTATTTTGGTACAAAAGGTCGACTGCAGGTATGCACAGTGTTAATAATTGACTCGTTGAAAGCAGCCACATGAAGCATGTTCAGCCAGTGGTTTGTCAATTACTCATCGAAGTCTCAGTTTTTTTCCCAGTTGGAGTGAGAAAAAGACAAAGAAGGTAGTTAAGAGTGGGCTTCAACCCATACCTGAATTTTAGCTATGCTAAGTAGGCATGACTCTATGGAGGGCAGTGTTGGCCTGTCTGTCGGTTGGTTGGTCGTACCACCACTTTGGTCCAGACTCAAATATTTTAACTATTAAATGGATTGCCATGGAATTAGGTACAGACATGAATCCTACTGAATTGGTTGATCCTCTGACTTTTCCTTTAGTGCAACCAGCAGGTTAAAATATTTGGCTTTCCAGAAATGGTAACAGCAGGCCACAGTGTTCACTTCATCCTGTGAAATATCTCAACATCTACAGGATGGATTGGCACAGAATTTGGTGCAGATAGCCATGCTGCCCAGACAGATTATTGTACTCATTGAGGTAATCCCCTGACCTTTCTTCTTGCACCAACAGCAGTTTGACATTTTTGGCTTTTAGTGAAATATCTCTTTTGTAATGCAGTGACATTCGTTGCCCCATCGGGGTGACCTGTAATTACTTTGTTTATACCCTGACTTTTCATCTAACACCATCATTAGGTTAAAATTATTGTTGTCTAATACCTGCAAAGCTGATGACATTCCCATCAGCCTTAAGTACATTTTTGTGCTAATAAACACATGTTAGTATGCTAACACTCTAAATACGATGGTGTACATGGTAAACATTACACCTTCTTAACATCTGCCTATTAGCATTGCCATTGTGGGTATGTTAGCATGCTGACATAAGCATTTACCTCAAATCACTGCTGGGCCTCATTACAGCTGTAGACTCCTTGTCTTGTTTCTATATTCGAGATTCACATTACATTCAAAACTAATAACCAAAGAGAAATCATTCAATTGCAACACATCTGAAAGAATTAGATCATCCATTTTGGACAAACAAAGCTATTAGTTCATCAATAATCAGGCCCATGGACAAATGCCAACCCTTTGGCCACCAATTCAGACCTGTAGAGAGTCAGACTCTGGGGCATCACCTTCCCAGAATGACGGCCAAGTTTTTCAGACGGTGGCCTGGCAAACCCCCTGCTGCCGACAGGCCCAGTAGCTACTAGAGAGCAATGGTGCCATGCCAGATCTAAAGTGCTAAGCATCCTTTGTGCTGATTTAATAACTACATAATTGAGTTAACTCCAATGTCAATTATCACAGAGTTCCACTAATTACCCCATGGCTAAAGTTAAGAGGAGAGAGAGGCCATAAACACAGAGCACATGAAGGTATTTGTCCCAAAATAATGTTTTTTTCTGCAGCCTCAGGTTCGAAAGACCAACTAGATACTGTGGTTTTAAAATGGAGCAATGAGAATTGAACTCACTGAGCCCCTAACATTCATCATGTTACTGCTTTGACTGCATTCACTCATTCAGCCTGCTCACAAATTAATAAAAGAATGTACATCTAATTGAAAGGGAGCAGTGCAATATGTGTATTGTTAGGAGGAGAGATAACATTCAGAATCTTCCTTCTAAGAGCTAGAGAAATAAAGTATGAAAAAATGCACAGAATTCAATTGCATGAGAAGAGACAGCTGGTCTGCATGGTGTACCGTGCACTTGTTGGGTTTCTCTCCTGAATGGATCCTCATGTGGATAAGAAGCTTGTATCGGGCATTGAAGGGCTTGAAGTTGCGTGGACAGCCCACCCAGTAGCATGTGAAATCCTCAGCCTTGCGCTGGTCCACATGTAGCTTTTCTATGTGCTTTACCAGCTCCTCCTTTTGCTCATAGACTGCACTGCAGTTCAGCCACCTGCAGCAGTGGGCCCCATAGTCATCCAGCTCTCCTTCTTCTTCCTCCAGCATTGGGACCTGGGGTAAAAAGCTCACCCCATGCCTGGGAGGAACCATGGGAGCCTGTGCGAGAGGGTCCTGAGAAAGGGGGTTTATTTTGCAGTGTCGTCTAGTGAGGTGGATGTGCTGGTGTGAGTGGTAGGGTGGTGGTGGCCCCTGTGGAGTAGCAACTTCTGGGACAGTAGTCAACATGGCTGGCTGTAACTGTAGATGTGGCAGCAGGTTGTTGGTGGTTTGGCTGCAGCTCTCTGAAGTCGTCTCCAGTGCCCCTCCTTCCTCTGGGAGGCATTGCTGCTCCACCACCATGTTAGCCATCTGGCTTGCCAGACCACCTCCCTCTTCAAGCATCTGCATGCGGCCACATTCTGTCTCTGGTGCCAGAGCCTGTGACGAGCCTGGCATACTGTAGGGATGGGCCACGGGGATGTAGCAACCCCTTACACCCAGGAAGTGTCCATAACCGTCAGACTGGACAGGTGAGAGTGTGGGGTGGGAGGATGGAGAGCTGCGGGAACCATTGATGTAAGCCACAAGTGAGGTAGGTGAGGTGCGTATGATGGAGGTGAAATCAATACCCATGACATCTGACAAAGGCGACATTGAGAGAGCCCTCTTCTTAGCTCGAGACTGTCTGGGGCTTCCAACATCACCTGCAAAGAGGTACGAGGGCAGAGAGGCAGAGGTGCTGGTGCCACCTGATATGGTCGTGCCGGACATGGCTGTGCCAGGGGAAAGGCTGAGCTGCTCACCTCCCTCGCTGGCCTGGGTGGAGCCCTGAGGTAGACCCAACGGAGGAAGCACACGGTAGCCATATGACCATTCATGTCTGCCACTAAACATTGACTGTGTTTCAAACAGACTAAGGGTAGTGGATGCCAGGGATTCTCTGGACAGTAAGGATCTGAAACAGATTATTGTTATCCACTTCAGTATCACTCTTAAGGTTAATTGAGCTCATCATCACATACTACTATTGATATTGCCCACCTGGCATCAGTGTGGGGATTCTGCACACTATGTGGATGTGATGGAGGATGTGGTTCTGCAGGCCCCGCAGTAAACCGTTGGCCTTTGACAACAGTCATGGGACTGCTGGTTACTGTCAGGTTAGCAGCAGCTGGCTGACCAAATACTTCCATGGTAGGCCCATACACAGAGCAACCTGCTGGACACAAGCCCAAAATTCAGTAAACAGACTATCCATATGAGAGAAAATGTAGAGTGTTTATCCACATTCAATAAATCTCCACAGATCAGTTCAGTGTTAACATAATATTACACAATGATCTGGAAAGTCATTAAGAAAATGCAGTGGCGTGTCCAGACATTTTTTGACTGGGGTGGCCCAAGTGGGGCACTGCATTATGTAGGGGTGGCATGAAGTACATGCACATGTGCAGTATCTTACAGGTTCTTAAATTGCTGTGTTTCTTTCATAAAATATAAATACATCTTATATTACAACACATTCAGGTTGGTGCCATACAAATGTAAAATAAGCTTCTATACTTTATTCTTTAAGTCAAAAAAAAATTGTACCCCGCAAAGTAGACTACATACAAAAGAAAACTATGAACATTCAGAAATACTCCTTAAACAGTTGGTGGTAACTGAGGTCAGTCATAGATAGGATAACCCCCACGCCCCCACAAAATACAAATCAAACTCAAAGGCATCACATTTCTGTTTTAACTAAGGTTTAAACAGTATATTGTGGAATTTCCCTCACCACCCTGAGCAGACCAGAGAAACTTTCTGCTCTGTTAATCACTAATGAGCCTTTCACCACTTTTCCTCTGTAGAAAATAGGGACAAGTTTTATGCTTGGTTAATTATCAATAAATAAGGACAAGAAGTATAGCAAGAAAACAGTGAGGTTGTGAAGAGCACACCAAGAATACGGAAGCATGAATATGTAAATCAGTGTAGTTTTGGTGAAGTGAAGAATTATACAACAACACTCTGTCTGACTTATCTTTGAGTGGGATGTGTGTGACGTCTCAGTTAAAATGTACACAGAGTTTGTTTTGAGCTGGAATAGATCCTGAATACTACAGTATTAAAATGCTGTTTAGGAGAGTTAAGTTACACTTGGATTTTGCTCACACCCTAGGTTGATGAAATATCTTTACCCTTGAAGCTGTTGGTAGAGGAGCAGAGCCCTGTCTGTATGGTAGTTGTCACTGTTGTGGTTGGAGGATGAGTAGGCACTTGCTGCTGTAGGGATGTAGTCGGCATGTTTAAATGTTTCACATTGGTCAACACCTGTCTGCGGAGGCTCAGGGTTGGCAGGACAATATGGCTTCCACCCTGTATCCCAGAAGCAAAGGAGTGGATTGTCCCTGTTTTCACTTTCTCCATGCCCGAGGAGGGACTAAGACTGGCCCGTTGGGGGGAAGACATAGGTATCCTGATGGATTGCGACTGCTGTCCTCTGATCATGCTTAGTGATGGGGACACATTGCAAGGGGACACCAGGAGGTGACAACCCTGTCCACTCATGGCTGAAGCAGATTTATCAGAAGCTCTGAGCTCTCAAAGTTGATGTAAGTGGTTGCAGTTGGTAAAAGTAGCTTTACACAGGATATGATAATCCACTGCTCATACCTAGGAAATGATTCAAACAACAAAAAAACAAAACATTAAACATATGGTCCCCTAATAAAGGATACATTAAAATATAAAATTAAAACATCAAATTTAATATTAAACCAACAATGCACAGTCTTTGCACTTTGAACCTAAAACCTGTTGAAGATCACTCAACCCCAAACAACTGCACCATGTATTTTTAGATCAAACAATATTATTTCAGGTTTACAAATATATAAATAAATCAATATTAGCCAACATACATGCTACTACAATAAGAAATGCATTTTATTTAAATACAAGCATGATGACTGAGGGTTAACAGGTTCTATGGTGCAATTATCCAAACCTTTAAAGTTAAAGTTTAGGCTATAAAAATAAGTGTTTTCTCTATAATCCATATGAACCGCAGCTAGGCTACTCGATTTAATCTTCTTGGAATTTAATCAAAAAAGTGCTTACAAGTGTATCCCCAAACATTAAAAAAAAGTATGAACTTTGCAGTTAAGTTTTTCATCAAACTGTTATTGTCGATAGCGCCTTCACTCACCTGTTGATGTTGTTGCAAACGCTTTCCCCAAAGTGACATGTCAGGATGAATGGCCCCGTCAGGATGGATAACACCAGGAGATCGACTGCCGTGTCTCTCTAAGAGTTTGTGGCGGGTGTGACTGTGTACTGAGCAGAGAAGTCAAGCCTCTGAGAAATCTCTCAGTTTAAACCGCGGCGTCCCGCCTCACTCCTCTGTTTCCAGGAACTCCTTTTCTTTCACCGACTACCCCCTTTGCCCTTGACCAAGCTTTACGTGAACGACGTCATTTCAAACTGAGTGGACATTAACAGAAAATAATTAAATAATTATTTTTTTGCTAGTTGCTGTGGCCTATAGTGTCCGTTGGCGCGCGTGTGTGCGGGGATAAGAGCCTTATAGAGCCAAAAAAATATAGGCTATTTCTTGCTCAGCTGAATATACATGTTGCTATACAAATATTACTTTAAAAAACAATTGTTGATTTAAATTCATGAAATTACAAACGTGAAATCACGCCCTTATTATAAAGATTATGCCTTAACTTATAACCTAGGCTATAGCCTGTAAACGTTTTTTTTAGGACAGCTTCAGGCTATCTGTTGCAAGTGAAGCATTAAAAACAACATTTGTGGTGGTAAGGTGAATGAGTGCTGGGTATAAAAGGACACATGGCAACAAGTTGGTTTGATAAAGTCTTTACTTTGCTTTCCAGTCTTTATGCCACTGAGCATCACCAATTCATAATTTGAACCTTGCTTGTGACATTGTGTTGCATGAATCTGCGTTGTCTCCCCTCCTCCCCTAACCCTCTACCTCTCCTCAGACCCCATTGTTCAGCACTTTTCTCCTGGCTGCTGGAGTGTTTGCTCTGTAGATCCTGTTCCAGGTTGCCAAGGAAACCAGTATGTTTATAGGAGGAGGGATGCTAGCTGTTAATTTGGGAACATACTCGGAAGAGACCACAATAATGATTAACTTATAGTTTGACAGACAGCATCCACTAAATGAAAATACATGTGTAAACAGACAATGCTGACTAATTGGAGTTTACAATCAGTGATAATGACTGCTGAGAATTTGCATTGATCAGAATGGTAGATGACAGCTGCAGAAAGTGCAGTAACTTCTCTTGGCTTATGGGCCTTTTAGTGTAGCCTATTATCTAAAATTGGAATTGTCTGTGTTATTTATAAAAGATACATGTTAAACTATTTGCTGAATTAAACGCTTATTAAAAGCTTTACCTTTGCAACAGGAAAACCAGTGATTATGAATTTTACCATGGTCATTTGATGATTGAGAGTGATCACCCGACATTTCAGACAAAATAAATTATGTTTTTGAATATATAGTAGTACTGACCTCTGGTGGGGTAACATTTAATTACTACACTCCAAGCCTGTGAAAGCAGGCCTATGTTCATGTAGTGCTTTCAGCTTCATCACAATATTACTTTTCACTCCCATATGCCTAATCTGCTGTCTTAAAAAACTTTCATCATTGTCTTGTACTGCAGAACAGTGATGTGCTGCAGAACAGAGGACGTTTCTCTACCCATCCGTTTTAGTGTGAAGTTTTCCCTCTTTTGCCAGCAGGGGATACTATTAGTACACCAGTGGGGTGGTTGCAGTCTGTTTAATAATGCCACAAAGTTTCAGATATGCTACAGAAAAAAATAATAAGAAAAACAGACATGCAAAGATGTAAGAATTGACAAAATGTGATACTTATGAAGGTCACAAAGGTAAGTCAGCTCCTTGTTTACATGATTATATAAAATACTCATCTTCGAGATCTTGCTAACTTCAAGCAGTTATCCATCAGCCCAACTGTGATCTGGCCTCTTCTTCCCTCGACTAAGTGAGGCGCAGTGTGTTTCAAAATGTCAGAGTGTAAGAGGATAGTAGAGCGTCTAAACTCGAGGCAGAACAACAACACATGTAGCCACGCGCTCGTCTTCTCAATGACAAACAGGGACACATAGAGCAGTGTTACATACATAGTTACATTACATAGTGTTATATGCACATACTGGATAACATTTACAGTTCACAACTGAAAAAACATGCCATTTCACTTCACTTTGCGGTAGTCCAAGGGCTCCTTTACATTCTCTGAAGAGGCGGACAGCAGTATATTTTAAGGAAAGGATTCGAGGGGGAGAAAAGGGGGAGAGAAGGAAATTAGATAGGTAATTGGCGCAGGAGCGTGGAAAAAACGACCAGATGAGATATAAGTGTTGACCATTTGTGAAGATCTCCATTTGTATCCGAATTAATACTCTAATAGACTCTCCACCACTTACAGAATCCATTTCCCTCTTCTTGATGACAGCATCAGCACTCCTGGAAGTAGCAAAGCATTCATTCTGCTGTCAAGTTGAGAAACCATGGGTGATTTCTCTTTAAGTTATATTACAATAGTCACTTAAGGTAATGCAGTGGACCTGTGATTAATTAATCTGCTTTTGATTTGCTAATGACAGTTCAAGTCAAATACAAGGTTAGTGAAAGCTGAGTCAATCCTTTTAGCTGCAACTGCAGAGAGGACTGTGGTGACTGTAGGAGATGTCAATTTATTGGTATCATCCCTCATTATAACTGCTCCTATTAGCCCACGGCACCTCATATACTTAGTCACGGCATATTACTAGACAAATACAGTGTTCCACACGCCCATATCCGAGATTGCACTAAAAGTTTCCCATAAACATTTAAATCACTCATGTTGGTTTGCAGCCAATGGTGTTAAATTAATGTTTTGTAAGATGTCTAAACTAAAAAAGGCTATAAATTGCGTGCTCTTAGAGATGCACCCTATCCACTGTACATGAATTACAGTAGGGAGAAAAGACCCATCCATCCATCTTTTCCTCTGCTCCTCTACTGTCAGTACCAACACTCAGATGAAGATGAGTGTGAGAGAGATGGGCTTCTGAGCGTCTTCCATCTCCATCCATCAATCTTAGATCAGACGTCTCTAATAACCTTTACAGAAGAGTGATGTCTGATAAAAAATAAAAAACGGACAGCAGAAGAACAGAGGGCCATATCTTTTCCAGCAGACTCTGTCTTTTTCCGCTCCCTGCTGTGTTTTCAAACAGGAGGACTCTAATGTAAGATTGCTGACACAACAGCGCCCGTGTTTAGAACTGCCGTTAGGCCACAGGCTTGCTTTTAATTTGAGCGCACATTCGGGGTGAAGCCTAAGGATGTGGGTGCTGTAATCTCCCTCTTTTCTTTTTTGGATATTATTAATACTGCTGCTCTGGAATCACATCTCGGATGATGAGGCCTCAGCGCTGGAGCATAATCACAGGACTCTGAGTCTGCCAAATCAACAGAAACATTTCCCAAGACTTCAATATAAACACAAAGTGAAAAGAAGCTTGGACAAACAAAAGATGCAGCTCAAGAGTGAAAGGGAATTTAATTTAGGTAACGCCAATCCAATTTAATCTGAGTTGCTCAACCATAACATGATGTGGCTCAATGACAAAGCGTAAGACAGTATTAATGATCCAACTGGAGATAACGCTTGTAGAGTAGAGTTTTTATCTATATGTAAAACATTTATGAGAAGACATGGAACCTCTTCACATGGCCACATAAGAACTGACTCTATTGATGATCTCTGTAATTAAAGAGATTACAACAGGTTTTAGTCTGTTAATCTAGCTTCTTTGCATTTTAGACAAACAGAAAAAGTTTTCAGGATGCATGACACATAATATACACACAATTGCTCCTTAATGCACCTCATGCTTCACTTTCACAGTTTTTGCCAAATAGCGTGAATTTGATCTTAGTTTAACTATGGCTCAGGCTAAGTCTCTGCCACAACTGCAGTTATAGTGTCATACAAAACATGCTTGTGTGTGTGAGCACTAGTACAGATTCTGGATGCCTGTTTCAATGAATTGGTGCCAGTGTGGTGGTAGAGGGCTAACAGGGCACATAAGACAATGTAGAAGGTCCAGACATAGGAGGGTGTGTCATTAGACCCCTGCCTGAAGCCCCCTGGTCAGATCTTCCCAACATCCGTCTTCATTAAAAAAGGTAGCTCTCTGAGCAGATGGTCATTAAGAGCCCCCACCCCCCTCTTTAGTCGCAGCACCCTCAATGCACTAGGACACTACCTAGAGGACATCCAATTGTCCCTCAGGAACCCCAGAAAACCTCACCAAAGAAAAAGTGGTGCACAACAAGGCTACCAGGTAATGATCACTCTGGGGTCTTCATAAATCTCTTTTTGAAATCTTTCAAAATAACAGCATGAAGTATGGAGATGGCTCATGCAGCAGTATAATCAATATGTCAAACCCTGTGGCACAAGATAAAGGTGGTCAGAGTGACACAACTGATACCCCAAAAAGTAAGTAATATCATCAGCGCTTTCCTTCCTTTTCTAGGAAAGTGTTTTTGTCCCTGTACATTTTATGTGACTGGCATATCAATGTTGTTTTGAGCCTGCACTGTTGTTCAGGCAGGTGTGGCAGGGGACACATGAGGACATGGTCAGGGTTTCAGCTGCTGTTGATAAACACGGTGCCACAGTCAGTTAGGTAGTGTTGCTTTTTCTTTTGTCCTGTTCCATGCGCTTGTTGATTACAGCAAGACTTTATGAGGGAGGGGTCAGTCAAATGTGATGCTCTGTGAAACAAACATATCTCATATCCCTGTGTCTGCAAACATATCGCTTCTCTGCCTATTTGCTAATGTGTAACAATTGTCACACCGACACAAATATACAGTGAAACTTCAGTAAAACTGAGAAAGAGGTCACAGGTCGTCAGCAGTGATTTGTGAAATTTGTGAACTCTTGGGTCCAATATGAGTAATGTCAATGTTATCTACATTTTAGTCGCGACAGCCTCATCAACAGTATCTCCAGCGGCAGCCACCATGGATCCCAATTACCGCAGTAATCACTCCCTAGCTGAGAGCACTGTTTCAGACAGGGTAAAGTATTATCCATCTTCATCATATTCATTATCAGGCGGCAGACGCAGGTGTCCTGGCCTCCCGCTGCTCCACACCATTAGTAACTGATAGACAGTGGGACTATAGCACCTTTGCTCCATAGAACACGCCCACGCACCGTTTTTTGAAAAGAAAAACTCTTAATCTGAACAAATTGTTGAAATATGCATAGGATTTTCATGTTGTACAATATCTACTTTTCACCTATACAGTAATTGTTGGGTTCAGGGAGACAGACTACCATGTCTACAGTACATGCATGGTCAAAG